TACACGTGATATTACATTGTTGTTTCTTTTGAAATGAATTGTTTTGGTAGTGTAAGATGATGTTTTGTTGAATGTTGTCAATATTTTTTTTATGAATCTGTGACTTTGTAGGACGAGAATCTTGTTAATGAAGATCCACTGATTATTGGGACAAGAAATTAATTCGAATTATTTGAGGGAATTGGTTCAAAAATGTTGACAATTAATTTATTGCAGTAACCTAATTTATTTATTATTGATCTATTGAAAAAGGTGAATCCTCATCTGGCGTGTCTTCGAAGATTGAAGGATGTAATAAATAAAATTGACGTTGGTAATGTGTGTTTGTGTAATTGTTTTTTACATTCTGGGAATTTGTTTCCGGGGAATTTTTTCAGAGGGAAAAAAATTTAGGAACCCTCTAGATATTCATCAAGCAGAGAAGAAAAATTACTATTTGCATCCCGGAACCGTCGACCGTTCACTTGAGACAATCGGAGGCAACTTCCTGGCGCTGGTGTCGCGTCCTAGGCCATAAAACGCCTTTTATCGTACACCAAATGCCTCGCTGAACGCCCCCATCTCCCGCATCTTCCAAAAACCTAACTTCTCCTTATTGTCATCAACCTTCCTCTTCCGTATTAGCCTGCGTATTACATTAAGTGGCTTGATTGCAGCAAATTTGTTTACGGCAATGAGTGCAACCAATGATAAGCGGCAGCTGCCGGGATCATTTTCCTTCGTTCGTTTTGTCTAATTTGCGAGTCCCGCCAGCAGCTTCCCGATGTCTCCTCATCAATTCAATCGCACACAATCAACTGATACGGTATCACATTTCGTACGGGTGTTAGGTACCCCAAGGAGCCCAGAGTAGGACAATTCCAAGCGAGTTTCCAAGTGATGTTTCGTCATCCGACTGTGACAAATAGTTAATAACTGAAAAGTTTTCCCGCTGATGCTGCTAAGTAGGATATGAGCTTTAACAATGTAATTTCAACATTGCAGCTCCAACGGCGTGATTAATCATCTCGCAGCCCTACATATTTCGAATCTCCTTCCAGAGAGATGAAAAAAATTATCACACTTTTTCATTTTGAGGTGATGGATGCGCTGGGGAGTGCTGGGTGATAACAGTGTCAGGTCCTTAGTCTCAACTCTGTGGAAATTTTCGTCATGATGATCCAGTTTTGTAACATTTATCGTTCACTCCAAGTGGAATATTTTGTATCTCGATGATTGGAGCAACCCGAACACACCCGCAGATTGCTTCATTATGAAGGAAACATTGAACTGTCGAATGAGTTTTATCTCGGAACTACAATCTTCACACATTGGGAGGGTTTCTGAAGAGAATGATAAGACACTGTTAGGATGAGGCAATCGGGCGGTGATAATCGGCAGATTTTATTGTTGTGAAAGAAGTTTTTGGGCTGCAGAACGAGAATTCAAGGCTCAAATTGAAGAGATGAATTTTTAAATAAAGTAATAATGAAGATGTGGCAGCAATTCCGTAACTTCATGAGAGATATTCTCATCCTGATGTCATGATCTCAAATTTTTCTGCATCAGATTTGTTGATCAGATGCTCTGCCATCTCCAGGATTCTCAACATAATGCGACTCGCAATTCTTTGAATCGTCTTCTTATTTATGTTTGGGAATTTTTCTGAGTGTAGCGAGAAGAGAGATTCGAGTTGCAGAATTGAGGGAAAGAATGAATTCACGGCGGACTTTAACGCGATAAGTAGAGAAGATTAATTAGACTTGGGATGCGCCCTCGAATGTTTCCGTTGGCGCGTCAATATTCCGTGATTATGCTGGAGGAAGTAATTTTTCATCAACTCCGTTTTTCACATCCTGTCGTTAACCCTGAGATTTCCCTGAATTCGCGGTATTATTTCTCGCGGACTCGTTCCACCAACAGTGAACCAGCGATTCGCGCGTTCGTCTTGATGAACGCACGAATCGAGTGGTGATGGGATAGTAGAGTTAATTGGAGGTATAGCCGATGTGGGAAAACGTATTGGGTAATCTTGGAATGTCGGTGGATTTAATTTTACTAGTGTGTTTAGTGGACCGCATTTTAGACGCGGTAAATGCTAGAAAACTCTAGGATATTCTGAAAGGTTGTTGAAGTACCTCTCGTAGGTAAACTCTCAAATCCATCGAGAAGTTTTTATAATTTTTTATAAATTATTTTGGGAGTTTCAGAATGGTTTGAGATATGCTAGAAAGAATGATAAAAGGTCGGAAAAATGGAGAGTTTTCTAGACGATAGGAGACCAATAATTTTCATGAAGAACGAATAATCCTGGAGGATTTTCCCAATGATCCTCAAATTTTCTGGAAGATTCTGTACCGGTCTAGACCGCTCTATAACTTTCTAGAACATTCCATGATTTCTCAGAGAAACGGACATTTCAAATAACATATAACTTGTGTGTTTCGTGGCCCGCCTCACGGCGGTCCAATTTTTTTTCATTGCAATCGACATTTAGTAAATAAATGCTAGAAAATTCTAGAATATTCTGAAGTATTGTCGAAGCACCTAGAGTGTATCAATGATCATCGATGAAAGGGTCTCGTAGGTAAACTCTCCAATCAATCGAGAAGTTTCTATAAATTTGTATAAATTTTTAGGGGGTTTCAGAATGGTTTGGGATATGCTAGAAAGAATGATCAAAGCTCGGAAAAATCGAGAGTATTCTATAGACAATTGGCAAATTCACTAGAAGATTTTGCACAGCTCTGGATCTTTCCACAATTTTCTAGAATTTCCAATCATTTTCATGCAGAACGAATGATCTAATGACTATAATTTATTATAATAATTATTTTGATAATTTTCATGAAGAAACCGAACATCTCAAATTATGTCCAGCGAATTTATCGGATGAGGCTCATTGTTAGCAAGAGAGCGGAGAAGGAAGGTTTCGTGATGGTGAGACTGGTTGTTAATTAGTTACCGACGCATGCGAGCGATCCAGTAGAGATCTGGATGTCTTCTGTGGGCAAGTTTGATAGTTGTGTTTACCTGACACAGATAAATTTTTGGTTCAACGTTTATTTGTTTGAAGAGGATTCCTAGAGGTTTCCATTTCAAACGAAAAATTATTCACTTGATATAATGAAAACATTTTCACCAGAATAAACATGAATTAATTAATTGGAAACAATAATATTATTGCTAATGAACAGTTTTATTTGATTCAAATCTCTCGAAATGAGAAATTTCAATAGTGACTATCATGACTATCATTACTAAAAGTGAGCCAAATCGATGGTTTTCCCGGATAAACAGTTTTTTTTTACACCGAGAATGTCACCTGGAAAAAAAGTATTCGTCATTGAAGAAAAAGAACAAAAATTTCCGACGTGCGAACGGAATATTTCTTATCTCCGATTGACAAATAAAAAGTGGAAGATCAGGAACCGAATATTTAATAACTCCCAAAATCATCATTGACGTAGTCAAAAATAATACATATATACAATCTCAACTCCGGTGGCTCCAATTTTATTTTCTTCCGAGTTTATCGTTCACAGATCAGAGAGTAAATGCTCGCCGCTAGGACAATATTTAGTTATTGGAAGTGATGAATGGACTACACATTGAGCGAAAAAAATAGCTCTGCCGAAAAACTATGTTCTATGTGAGAATATTTGACGGAGCGGAACAGATTTACTTGAGGGAAATTAACCAACTTGGTAGAAGGAAATTTGATTTTTCACAAAAATTAAATTTTTGTCGTGATCATCAAAAATATCCCTAGATAAATTCGAACTATTGGCAGCAAAAAATATAATCTATTGTACGACAATTATTTGATCTGAGAGAACTCCGCAGGTTTACCCCATAGAAAGAATACATTGACAAGGAAAGAATATTTTTTTCCAAAAAAAATTATTCCCTTGAAATTATTTAGTTTTGCCAATAACACAGCTTTCGTCAAGAGAATTGTCGTTTCCTCTTGAAATTATCAATTGTTCCATGGAAATTATAAGTGTTTATTGGACAAAGATATACACTACTCAATAACATTCGCTTGATAAAACCGGAGCCCCATATAATTCTCTGTAGAACGAATGTATTTACCTGAAAGACATGTAAATGTCTCACGAGAACAATTACTAGTAAAAAAATTATAATGTTTTGGTGGAAACTTTCTTTTTGTCCCCAAGTAAATTGATTCAACACGACAAGATTTTTCTCCCTGCATCAACCGATTTATTATAAAACTTCAACAGTCAATTATTTTCCTTCCTACGGTATTGAATTAATGTGGAAGAAGGTCGCATCGTTCTTCACGAAACCAGGAAAACCTGAATGAACATTCACATTCCGCAATGTGCATATTTGCATTTCTTCAATTTCGAAAGTTTCGCGATCGACTCTGACCCAAAAAAATGGTGCTCAAATTTTTGGTGAATTTGATTTTGCAATATAAAATGCACGAAAAATCACACGGGAAGTGATGAATATGATAATTAACAGCGACAATATTGACATTTTAAATTTGTTTCGAACACATCTCATTCGCGTTGTGAAATTGGAGTATATCAGGGGCAAGTTTACTGCAATACACAAGGAAACAATTATTTACTCCCTTCAAGGACATTCATGCACCTGAATTGGCAATTACATGTGTTTATTAATTATTCAACATTAATTATTCAACGAGATTAATTCACGAAAAAATATCCGAAAAACGAAACTTCATTTATTTGATGTTCTCACAAGTGTTTCATTATTATTTAGAGAATTTTCATGAAAAATTTTCCAGAACCTCTATTATTCCCAAAGAAGATAGTCTTGAATTACTGAGAAGAGTCGATATGATCGTCTTAAATAATTGTAAAGTTTATTAACTCATCCATGGGACCAAAAAGGTGGAAAGAGCGTACGGCTGAGTACATAAAAAAATCAATGAATTGCGTAATGCGAATATTTGAGGTAAGAAATCACCCTAAGATATCTGTGTATATAATGCCATCGGATCCCAAAGAACAGCCAGAAGTGCCTGCAGTCTGATTTCTATCGACTGAAGATCAGTTGAGTTCCGCAATGAAGGGTATGTAAAGTGTGGAGACGCCCGCGGATGCACTGAGAAAAATTTCAATGGTCATTTTAACTACAAGGGAATTGTCAAAGAAATTATATTTACAGTAACAATAAACTTTGTAGATTAAACTAGGATTCATCGTTCGATTTACTCTGTCAAATAGTGTCATCAACATTATGATGTAATTTTCACTCTAATGTAATAGTTGAATTTACAATGTTTATTGTTACCGTAACTATTATTTTTTGACAATTCCCTTGTAATTGAAATTACCCTTGAAATTTCTCTCAGTGTGATCGCTCAGATTTTCGAATAATATTGGGAACTCAGACGGGGGCGGGGCGTAGGTTGCGGACCCTACCTGCACGGGTTCATATTTTCGCCACTCGACAGTGGCTCCTTGGGAGAGATAGGGCTCGCAACCTACTTACACGGCTTCCGATCCCGTCCGATAGATAGAGTATTTGAGTTCTATAGACTTTCCAATATCCTGACTAGAGATGCGCGGTGACGTCACGAATGAGAATCCGTCAGGTCACAAAAATACGACCGTCATGTAATCGTCATTGACAGTCATATCTTCTCTTGTCAATAAAACGGTCAGATAAAATTTTGTCATTGAGAAATTAGCTATATAGATGCGACACGACGGTCATTTTTTCCCCACAAAATTTTGTCATGTTTTGCCATTGACAACTACCTACTTCGTAGTTCATTGACTAGAAGTAGTTCATTAACTACTTCGGGGTGACATGGGGTTACAGTTTCGCCAACTTTCGGATAAAATAAAAAAAAAATTTGGACACCTAAAGGGTTACACCACCACTTAGATGCGATATGACTGTCATAAGGTAAGTCGGTCACATTTTTGTCATGTGACAGTAATTGGTCTTTCGTGGAACAGCAGTGAGACGGTCACATGACCGTCATCTGACATGTCATGAAAATTGCTCGCATGTCTAATCCTGACACCTCTTGTATTTACAGTCCTGTTACTCTTCGTTTTGGCTTTGGCGGTGGTCAGCGTACTTTGTGCTCCTCATCATGAAGAGTCCTACGATGGCGGAGTGGTCATCCGGCACGATAGAGGTAACTTGAAAAATAGTTGGAGAAGAGCCGAATGGTATCCCGGTAGGAGCAGCTCTAGTTCAGAAGAAAGCGATGAGTTCGACAGCAGTGACAGCTCAGAGGAGGACTTCAGAGGGAGGAAGAATCCTCAAGGAGATGAAGGAATTGAGTGGCCCGCCAAGTCGTTGCCTGGAAAAAGGTTGCCGTCGCCGCCGTCAGGTAATGATCAGCCTAGATTCTATAGAATGTTGACGAAATTAACCAGGTGCAACCATTCGGAATATGTAATGTGAACAAATGAATGTTTGTGTTTTATGGTGTAGGACATGACGCAGAACACGGGAAAGGAGAAGGTGCTGATACAGGACACGGAAAGACACATGAGGCTAATACAGAACAGAATACTCCTGATGATACAACAATTTGAATTCTCTGAATAATGTATTGTATATTGTAAAAATTGAACAAATACAACATTAAGAATAACACATGTTTACCCTGATGATGATATCTCGAAATCGAAACGGTAGAAAATCAAAATATGTTAATAGAATAAAATGAGACGAAACAATGAAGAATAACCAAAAGCAACATCAACTTTAGAGGAAATGTTCGGATCGAAAAGAAATGAACGCATCACGATGGAATGCATTCTAAGGGAGGAAATAGATATCCATAACAATATTTTGATTTCACTGGTGAACAATCTGAGATTGATGTCGGCCTGTCGGATAAAATCTAAGAGTCCAGTAGTATTTTTCAGTTCAATAATTGATAAAAGGGAAATTCATCATTACCCCCTGGCCCCCTTGCGGAATTATTCGGAATCCGAGACAAAGGATTGTAATCTTTCAAGAATCATTTGTTGTGAACGAACTTCTGGTGTACAACAATCATCTAAAGCTTCGAATTTTTTTTAGTCCTGCATTCAGATTCGCATCATATAATAGACTTTTCATATCATAACCTTTCGAGTGTGTCGAAAGGGGCAAAAATGGAGGCCGCCCTCAATTAAACCGTCTATTGAGCACTCGCTACTAGAAAAATATTTATGTATTGGAAGTAATGAATGACCTGTCGTTGACACGATGAGGATAATCAAGACACTAAATCATCAAATGATTTGAAAATAAAACACCCCAGTGTTTTCCTCTCTGCGCCATTAAGATCACATGGAAAAAAATCTCGTTATTCTTCACGGAACAAAGAAAACATGAATGAATATGTCAACACTGCAGTGTTTTTGTTATTGGCAGATTCACTTATTCACGTCGAGTACGGAAGATTCCCGATCAATTCTGATGAAATAAAATCGGGCCTGGATTTTTCGAGAACTTGTGGAGCTATTTATGAACGTGTAAATACGATAATTCACTGATTCCGTCAAGTACGGCCCATATTTCATACAGATCTAAGCGGAAATGACGGACTTTTTTCAAAACTAGATGATTTCGAAACAATGACAGATAATGAGCATTAATTACATATAGGTTGCATAGATTTGCATCAATCAGAAGTTATCGAATCTCAATGACATTGAACCCTTGTTGGACTTGGCAACAGAAAGGCCCCGGACATGAGGGGTTGAACCCCCTTCTCTGCACACATTCCATTTCAAAATAAACGCAGAGGCACATCGCATCCTGACTCATCCTCGGCCGTCACGATTGAACCCGAGAGGTTGCACAGAAAGTTCACTGCCCGAATGGAAAGGTCGTTGAAATGAAGAGTGATACGATGTGGGGCAGAATCCTACTTACCCACTTTTACTGACCTCAATTTCACTCTCAACATGTACAATGCTTCGGCAAAAGTTTCGTTTTCACTTTCGCTCTTACTGCTCTGACCCAAACCTGACCTGACCCATAACGCTATCCCTTACGTTTCACCATTCATGTTTACTCTTGCAGAGCGGTCAAGGTTGAGTTCACTGTCACATTGACCACTCTCATAACTTCCTCGGCGAAATTTGAGATGAGTACATGATTCATGGTTTCACACTGCATATGGGGTAGAAGACATTTTGGTGAACACCATTCGTCTCATAGATGATTTAGCGATAGAAAAGGTGACCATTTCCTATGAACAGTTTGATCTCTTCTAGGGATATTTCTGATAATCACAATAAAAATTTAATTTTTATGAAAGATATTACATTTCCCTCTATCAAGTTGGTTAATTTACTTCAAGTAAATATCTTCCATTCCATCAGATGCCCTCACGTGAAACATATAGTTTTTGGACAGAGCTAATGTTTTCTCTCAATGCAGTTGACTATTAACAAATGGCACTAATAGTTAAGGAGCTTCGTAAACTGCAACTAAATTCCTCTATCATAATGCAATAAAATATAATTCACAAGCGTATATGCGGTGTACGAACGGAAGTGAAAAAGTACTTGGTAAATACACTGGGTAAATCCCCAAAAAATGAACTGATGTTTGTTATGAGACTACGAAGATTTGCGAGCAGACTACAATAATCCATTTGTGATAAAATTTCGCCTTTTAATCGTTCACTAACTGCGTCAGCACCGCCTTAGAATAACTGAACCTTTCTTTGCTTTCCCAAAAATGTACAATCTATTGACGCGGTAAGAACAATCGTTATGGTTGTGTTGAATAATATTTTGTTAACTCACCAAGCTCTGGATTAAAAAGACGACAGGAGTGCAGTCTGAGTACATATGACGCTAACAATAAATTTCGTGCAATTGGATATTTCAGATAACAAATGTCTCATCCTGAGAGAAGGTATATAATGCGTGTTATCGAATTCCGAAGAACAGTCAGAAGCAGTGACTGCGGACTGATTTCAATTGTCTGGAAATCAGCGCTGGTGCACCATGAAGGGTATGTAATTAATGAAGATGCCCTAGGATGATGGTTCAATATTTTGGATAATGTATTCTAATGTTTGTTGGATTTGCAGTTCTGCTCGTCTTCGCTTTGGCCCTAACGGTCATCAATGGGTTTGGTGTTCCTCCTGATTTGAGGCACTCTGGAAGCTTGGTCAAGCGGCGTGATAGAGGAGACCGAATATCTGGTGGGATAGACGGGATATTGAGTGGTGAATTTGACAGTGATGAGAGCGATGATAGATCCGAGGAGAAGAGAAGACCACGTGGGGATAGGGAATGGCGGGGAAAGCCATGCAGACCTAAACGTCGTGACGAAAGCGCGTCGTCGTCGTCGTCGTCGTCGTCGTCGTCGTCGTCCTCTTCATCGTCAGGTAATAAAAATTGTAAATTCTCCAGGGAGTTGTAGTACAGACATAATAGTAGCAAGGGGTAGAGTAGTATTTCATTGGCGAGGTGAATTGGATGAGAGAGCTCGGAGTGTGGGGTGTGATTGAGTGGATATTTCATGGTTTTTGAATAGAATGTTCACATGGTAATTATATCTCTTCTCCGTGAAGCAAGTGGATCAGGTTCCGATGCAGTGCAAGTGAGCGTGCATAGTACAGGGCAGGAGAGCGGGCAAGGTTCTGGTATAGGCCAAGGAAGCGGGCAAGGTTCCGGTGCGGGTCAAGGAAGCGGGCGAGGTACCGGTGTAGGACACGGGAGTGGACGAGGTTCTGGTGCAGGAAGAGGTGAATGATATTAAGATTCACCATAGTTAACATTTATAGAATTTGAGGAGTTACCAATCATCTGGATTTTCATTATGTTATGTTCACATACTAACTCTGGATTTTACGTTCTCATTATAAAGGAAGTGGAGCAGGACAAGGAAGCGGACGTGGTTCCGGTGCGGGACAAGGTTCTGGGGCCGGACAAGGAAGCGGAGAAGGTTCCGGTGTGGGCCAAGGAAGCGGCCGAGGTTCTGGTATTGGACGAGGAAGTGGACAAGGCTCTGGTGCCGGACAAGGAAGCGGGCGCGGCTCCGGTGCGGGACAAGGAAGTGGACGAGGTCCTGGTATTGGACGAGGAAGTGGACACGGTTCCGGTACAGGACAAGGGAGTGGACGAGGTTCTGGTGCTGGACAAGGTGGCGGACAAGGTTCCGGTGTGGGGCAAGGAAGCGGGAGAGGTTCTGGTGCAGGACAAGGTGCCGCAGTGGGACGAGGAAGCGGTCGAGGTTCCGGTGCGGGACAAGGCAGCGGGAAAGGTTTTGGTGTTGGACAAGGTTCTGGAGTGGGACACAGAAGCGGGAAAGGTTCTGGTACAGGACAAGGCACTGGACAAGGTTCTGGTAGCGGACAAGGAAGTGGAAGAGGTTCTGGTGCGGGACACGGAAGTGGGAGAGGTTCTGGTGCGGGACAAGGCTCCGGAGTGGGACAAGGAAGTGGTCGAGGTTCCGGTGCGGGACAAGGCAGCGGTAAAGGTTCAGGAACTGGACGAGGTTCCGGTGCAGGACAAGGCAGCGGTAAAGGTTCAGGAGCTGGACAAGGTTCCGGAGTGGGACAAGGAAGCGGGAGAGGTTCTGGTGCGGGACAAGGCAGCGGTAAAGGTTCAGGAGCTGGACAAGGTTCCGGAGTGGGACAAGGAAGCGGGAGAGGTTCTGGTGCAGGACAAGGTAGTGGTCAAGGTTCCGGCGCAGGACGAGGCAGCGGGAGAGGTTCTGGTGTTGGACAAGGTAGCGGACAAGGTTCCGGGGCAGGACAAGGAAGCGGAAGAGGTTCCGATGCAGGAAAGGGAAGTGGGCGAGGTTCTGGTGTTGGGCAAGGAAGTGGTCAAGGTTCCGGTGCTGGACAAGGCAGCGGGAGAGGTTCTGGTGTGGGACAAGGCTCCGGAGTGGGACAAGAAAGCGGACGAGGGTCCGGTGCGGGACAAGGAAGTGGGAGAGGTTCTGGTGCGGGACAAGGTTCCGGAGTGGGACAAGGAAGCGGTCGAGGTTCCGGTGCGGGACAAGGCAGCGGGAGAGGTTCTGGTGCTGGACAAGGTTCCGGAGTGGGACAAGGAAGCGGGAGAGGTTCTGGTGCGGGACAAGGCAGCGGGAAAGGTTCTGGTGTTAGACAAGGTTCCGGAGTGGGACAAAGAAGCGGGAAAGATTCTAGTACAGGACAAGGCACTGGACACGGTTCTGGTAGCGGACAGGGAAGTGGGAGAGGTTCTGGTGCGGGACAAGGCTCCGGAGTGGGACAAGGAAGCGGTCGAGGTTCCGGTGCGGGACAAGGCAGCGGTAAAGGTTCAGGAGCTGGACAAGGTTCCGGTGCAGGACAAGGCAGTGATAAACGTTCAGGAGCTGGACAAGGTTCCGGAGTGGGACAAGGAAGCGGGAGAGGTTCTGGTGTGGGACAAGGCTCCGGAGTGGGACAAGGAAGCGGACGAGGTTCCGGTGCGGGACAGGGAAGTGGGAGAGGTTCTGGTGCGGGACAAGGTTCCGGAGTGGGACAAGGAAGCGGTCGAGGTTCCGGTGCGGGACAAGGCAGCGGTAAAGGTTCAGGAGCTGAACAAGGTTCCGAAGTGGGACAAGGAAGCGGGAGAGGTTCTGGTGCAGGACAAGGCAGTGGACAAGGTTCCGGTATCGGACAGGGAAGTGGGAGGGGTTCTGGTGCGGGACAGGGAAGCGGACAAGGTTCTGGTGTAGGGCGAGGAAGTGGACAAGGTAGCGGCCAAGGTTCCGGTGCGGGACAAGGCAGCGGGAGAGGTTCTGGTGCTGGACAAGGTAGTGGACAAGGTTCCGGTGCGGGACAAGGTTCTGGTGTAGGACGAGGAAGTGGACAAGGTTCTGGTGCGGGACAGGGAAGCGGGCGAGGTTCTGGTACGGGACAAGGAAGCGGAAGAGGTTCTGGTGTTGGACAAGGTTCCGGAGTGGGACAAGGAAGCGGGAGAGGTTCTGGTACTGGACAAGGTTCCGGTGCGGGACAGGAAAGCGGGCGAGGTTCTGGTGCTGGACAAGGTTCCGGTGCGGGACAGGGAAGCGGGCGAGGTTCTGGTACGGGACAAGGAAGCGGAAGAGGTTCTGGTGTTGGACAAGGTTCCGGAGTGGGACAAGGAAGCGGAAGAGGTTCTGGTGCTGGACAAGGTTCCGGTGCGGGACAGGGAAGCGGGAGAGGTTCTGGTGCTGGACAAGGTAGTGGACAAGGTTCCGGTTCGGGACAAGGTTCTGGTGTAGGACGAGGAAGTGGACAAGGTTCTGGTGCGGGGCAGGGAAGCGGGCGAGGTTCTGGTACGGGACAAGGAAGTGGAAGAGGTTCTGGTGTTGGACAAGGTTCCGGAGTGGGACAAGGAAGCGGTCGAGGTTCCGGTGTGGGACAAGGCAGCGGTAAAGGTTCAGGAGCTGGACAAGGTTCCGAAGTGGGACAAGGAAGCGGGAGAGGTTCTGGTGCGGGACAGGGCAGTGGACAAGGTTCTGGTGTAGGGCGAGGAAGTGGACAAGGTTCTGGTGCAGGACAAGGAAGCGGGCGAGGTTCTGGTACGGGACAAGGAAGCGGAAAAGGTTCTGGTGTTGGACAAGGTTCCGGAGTGGGACAAGGAAGCGGGAGAGGTTCTGGTGCGGGACAGGGCAGTGGACAAGGTTCTGGTGTAGGGCGAGGAAGTGGACAAGGTTCTGGTGCAGGACAAGGAAGCGGGCGAGGTTCTGGTACGGGACAAGGAAGCGGAAAAGGTTCTGGTGTTGGACAAGGTTCCGGAGTGGGACAAGGAAGCGGGAGAGGTTCTGGTGCGGGACAGGGCAGTGGACAAGGTTCTGGTGTAGGGCGGGGAAGTGGACAAGGTTCTGGTGCTGGACAAGGAAGTGGGCAGGGTTTTGGTGCTGGACAAGGTAGTGGACAAGGTTCCGGTGCGGGACAAGGTTCTGGTGTAGGACGAGGAAGTGGACAAGGTTCTGGTGCGGGACAGGGAAGCGGGCGAGGTTCTGGTACGGGACAAGGAAGCGGGAAAGGTTCTGGTGCTGGCCAAGGTTCCGGAGTGGGACAAGGAAGCGGGAGAGGTTCTGGTGCGGGACAGGGCAGTGGACAAGGTTCTGGTGTAGGGCGGGGAAGTGGACAAGGTTCTGGTGCTGGACAAGGAAGTGGGCAGGGTTTTGGTGCTGGACAAGGTAGTGGACAAGGTTCCGGTGCGGGACAAGGTTCTGGTGTAGGACGAGGAAGTGGACAAGGTTCTGGTGCGGGACAGGGAAGCGGGCGAGGTTCTGGTACGGGACAAGGAAGCGGGAAAGGTTCTGGTGCTGGCCAAGGTTCCGGAGTGGGACAAGGAAGCGGGAGAGGTTCTGGTGCGGGACAGGGCAGTGGCCAAGGTTCTGGTGCTGGACAAGGAAGTGGGCATGGGTCTGGTGCAGGAAAAGACTTAGGAACTCTCTTAGGTAAAGTTAAACTTTAATTTTTATGCTTCAGCCTTACGAACGGATCTACGTGAGGGGTCTCTTACAGAAATTCATTCTATACACATACGGGCCATGATTCTAATACTCCTAAAAAATTTATTTTTCTGCGCAGGTGGAGTTCTATGAAAGTCCTCTGAGACGTCAAAGCTCCGTGTGAGCCTTGCAGATAATGCCTAGGAATTCATCGGGAAGTCTATTTATAAGCCATCTCTTTCAACCAAACGCACAATTCCCAATAAAATGCATAATTCTTAGTTCTAAGTCAGATTTTATTATCTGCACTATTGGCACATTTCAACAAATCTCGCATTGTTGTTCATTTTTATCAACGAAGTTTATGACCTATCTATACTGTATGAGTGAGAAAAATATAGCATGACGAATAATTATGAATGTTTATTCTCTACCCTAACCATAATCTCAAGTATGTTGCAATCTAATCCATATTTCTCACAAGCCCCATCCAATATCTTACATTTATTGATAGACTATCTGCGATTCATATCGATCCAGATTAATTGCCAGTAAACTTTCATGATCACTCCCCACTCCTTGGGTATCATCACGAATCACGAAGTTGAAATAGCCGCTGCGTTGATTCTTGAGTCCAGTGTCTCGTTGTCGATCGATCGATAAAGACTTGACAGCTAGACTCAACGAATAATCAAGCGCTCATGAAGAATAATTGAGGATTAATCAGGTGAATTACGTGAAACAATGTGGAAACTTATTCTACTTGTCGTGGTCACGTTGACCTCGGCAATGGAACTCGTCGATCATACTCCGTTGAATGTACGTATCTATAATTCCATAAACATCCAAAGTTTCAATTATTACATGTCAATCTAATGGCCTATCATATCATCGCTTGTTCAAGATATCTGTTTGGTCTTTCTAAGACCTCTTGAAATACAATGATATGTGGTTTTTTTAAAAATACAAATAAAAAATGAATTGTCGTTTATTTTCTTCAGTTTTACTCATTCGAAACTCATCAAAAAAATATATTTTATACGCATTTGTAGACTTACTGAGCGATATTTTGCGAACATTTTAGAACACAACGCCTCACGTTTATGGTTTCGAAATCGATTATGAGAATAATCAATTTTTGTTGGACGGAAAACCTTTTCGTTACGTTTCCGGAAGTTTCCACTACTTTCGTACACCGAAGGTCTATTGGCGGGACAGATTGAGGAAGATGAGGGCTGCGGGTCTCAATGCCGTTTCAACGTGAGTCTTTGTTACGTGTGAGATAACGAAGTGTTAACTGAACATCGATTTCGATTTTATCATACAATCTATTTCTGTAATATTTTTTCTGTAAAAACCCCATTATTTACTCTCTACAAAATACAATGGGCAATAATACAAACATTGGAGACAAGATATCTGTTTAGCCCCCCCCCCCCGTTTTAATTCTCTTTAGTATTTTTAGGTGTTCGTATTATATAGCAAAACAATGATAGAATTATTCACCTTTTATTATTCACAAAAGGCTGCAACCAACGCCTATTATCATGAGACTCAACCATTCATTTTCCATTTATTTGCATAGAATGGTATGAGGTATACTCTCATTTTTTTTTAAGGATTTGACCCCCATATAATGCCCATATGGCCCCCATAAGAACGTATAGAAATATGAACAAATTAGAGAGATAGGGATAATAATGAGGGCCCATTAGAGACAGTGATAAAGGTCACCGTAAGAGTCAGCATCAGGGACATCTCCTAAATTTTCTAACATCAAAACCCATTGATCTTTGTTATACCATAATTTCGATTAATAAATCTATGAGAAGCACGCGAGTTGAATCTATCATAGAAATCAGAAAAAACAATCCAATTTCGACTGCATTTCAATGTAATTCTCTAGCGAATGCGTTAGGTTTCCCTCTTGACTTTTTCGATAAGTGATTATTTGTAATGATAATAGTTACGTAGAGTGGAGTCTCCATCAGCCAAGGCCAAACGTCTGGCGATGGGACGGCGAAGCGGACATTGTAGAATTCCTCAGAATCGCCCAAGAGGAGGATCTCCTGGTTCTGCTGCGACCAGGCCCGTACATTTGCGCTGAACGTGACCTTGGGGGTCTGCCGCCCTGGCTGATGACCCTCGTGCCGGATATAAAAATGCGGACCAATGACGCTCGTTACATGGGGTACGTCGAGGTGTACTTCCAACAGCTATTGACTCGGGTGGAGCCTCTTCTCAGGGGTAACGGTGGACCTATTATCATGGTCCAAATTGAGAATGAGTACGGAAGCTTCCCCGCGTGCGATGTGAAGTACAGGGAGGCTCTGCGTGACATCATCACACGGTATGTGGGGAACAAGGCACTCTTGTACACGACTGACGGGTCTGGAACGTCTTATCTTCGCTGCGGAGTTGTTGCCGGGGCTTATGCCACCGTTGACTTCGGGGCTAGTGCGAATGTCACGAGTTCGTTCGGTGCTATGCGAAAATATCAGCCAAATGTAATTATTTCAGTCTTTTTGAAAGCTGTCGTTGCAATTTTCCGCAACAGATTTCAGTATTTCAGCGCTAACAGAGTTTTTTGTGAAAATTACTGTCAATTAGGCAATTTAATTATTAGTTTATTATTTTGAGGATCACAGAAAAGCTGTAGTTCTTAGTCATTTTCAGTGAAATGACATGGGCTTGTCATATGAATGCACCTAAACGAAAATTCATGACTCTTTAGAATTGAAGAATTAGAAAACTGATAGATAATGTTATTCCACCAACGTCAGTGGGAAACGTAGGTTAGCTTCAATTTCACGTGCGTTTTATAATTTGTCATTTATCAGAAGTTATCGAATCTCAGTGATATTGAGACCGCGTCAGACTTGGTAACAGAGTCAAGGTACTTTGGTTCTGGAATTCAATACTTTGGATTCTTAAGAGAAAAACCCACACGGAAAAATTTATAGTCTGAAAAATATATTAAAAAATATCTTAAGTTGGCCCAATTTATATTTTTAAAAATATATAAAATATATGTTTCGTATATTTTTTATATGTTCTCTATAAATTTCATAAATACATGAAATTGGCCCATATCATATATTTTTTAAATATATTTTTTTAATGGGGGACCTTGAAGTTGACATCCTTGTCTCCTCAAATTATCTTTATTAATTGTGGTATGACATAAAAACTTGGGAAACCTCATCTCTGCTCCGTCACGAATCGTCACAAATTACAGAATCTCCTCCCCTCCTCAATGGTTCTTATTTTAGGAACCCATTTTTCTCTTTGTAACATTCTTCATATTGATGTATTAACATTTCTTCTACACACAGAAAAATCTAAACGTCAATTACACTCAAGAAGTCGTTTTTCGTGTATTTTACGCTTGAAGTTGAAGCGTGAATTACTCTCAAAATCACCGTGATTACGATTACGTAAACGTAATTTACAATTTTGTATTCGTAACCTACGATTTTCTCCGCATTTTACAACGATGAAAAAGAAGGTATTTCAAGCGCAAAATACGATGTTTTTTTCGTAAATTACGCATAAGCAAATCGTAAAATACGTTTCTATTAACATCGTAATTTACGATTTCTTAAGCGTGAAGTGCGCTCAGTGAAACGTAAAAGCTCTGTTTGGGCGTAATTTACGTTTAGGGTTTTCAGGGTGTACTTCTCCGGGCCATTTCGCGGTTCACAACAGTTTTAATTCCAAAAATAAAGTAAGCTACTCAATCATCTTCATTCCGACAACCTTCTAAGTGGTAAATGCACTCCTCATCGGGGCAATTTATTCTTTTCCATTTATGCAAATACTAAAAAACATGATAAATCATTACAATTCACGCCTATTAAGATAATCACTGTTTGCGATAACAAACCAAAAATATTCAATAATTCAAAGATAATCTTATTCTATATAATTTGGGTGTCAATAGAAATTTTCATTGGAAAATATTCTATAGTAAAAGGCAATAGAATACGATTTTTCTGTACAACTTATTCTATTGAGATATTAATAGAATTTCCTCGGTTTAGATTTCCCAAGTTTTTTTGCTTGATTTTCTCGATTAAAAGAAATTAAAAATATAATGAGAAAAATTTGGAAAATTTGAGTCGAAGAAATTCTATAGAAAATATTTCAATAGAATAAATTTATGGAAAAATCGAATTCTATGGACTTTGTCTGCAAAATATTTTTTTTGACCAGTCCAATAGAATCGAAGAAGCCAAAAACTAATAGAAAGTTCAATAGAAATCCAATAGAATCGTCTAACCAATTTGCTAAATTTTTTCGTGAGTGATATTCTAGGATTTTACGTGCGTGATTTTTAGTATTTATCGCCTAAATGTCGATTTGAATGTGAAAAAAATTGGTCACCACCGCACTAGTTTAGGCGATTACGCGGGGAATTAAGGAGGTACCGCCCCTGGCATGGGCGATGCCATTTTTTCAAGGGTTTTTAATCATCCAAGGGTTGTTAATGTTTTTAGAGGTTCGATAGTCATCAAAGCTATTTCAAAGAAATTGGCCACCAACGCACTAGTTTAGGCGATTGGCAAAATAATTAAATTTCGTAATGTTGTTTTACGTAAATTATGATACAGGGGCCTCTCGTCAATTCGGAATACTACACGGGCTGGTTGACCCACTGGGACGAAGCCTTCCAGAGGGTCTCGACCGCCGCCTTCATAAAGACCCTCAAGGCAATGTTGAACCTGAACGCCTCCATCAATCTCTACATGATGTACGGCGGAACGAACTTTGGTTTTACCGCTGGGGCCAACGGCGGCGAGAATCAGTACACCCCGCAAATAACATCTTACGATTACGACGCACCTTTAACCGAAGCGGGTGATCCCACAGATAAATATTTCGCACTGCATGATGCACTCGCCGAGGTACGCCAGATAACCCGAGTCCAATGATTGAGATGAGAATCCGTTGATTATTTTCTCTTTGTTTGTCAGTACCTGCCGATGCCGAATTTGTCGTTGCCCACGGCTGCACCGAAGGGTAATTACGGAGTTGTTGGGCTCCAACCAGTTACGAGGCTGTTTGATAGTCAGGCGAGGCGTCTGGCAGCGAAGGTTGGGTTCCATAAGACGGCTCCGACTTTCGAGCAGTTGGATTTGCCGACTGGAGTCGTTCTTTACGAGACTGAACTTCCGGCCGGGCTCAAAGATCCTGCCGTTCTCAGTGCTGATGTCGCGGACAGAGCGCTCGTTTATCTTGATGATTATTTGGTCGGGACTTTGAGCCGAACGCTGAAGCTCAAGGCGCTGAGCTTGCAGAATCCCTATGCGAAGAGAATTCAGATTCTTGTGGAGAGTCAGGGACATTTGAATTTTGGGAGCGTTGTTCAGGATTGGAAGGTAAATTTACCTTCGAAGCATGGGTAAATCTCGAATCGAAAATGAAATGTCGAAATCGAAAATGAGATCTCGAACGAATGGAGAAAGTAAGACGGTTTTCATGAGGACAATCGACTTGCGTCGAATTTTCATGAAGCCCGCTTAACAAACGAAAGAGAATTGAATACCATTCTATGAAACATGAATAAACGAATCATAATTGTCCAAATCATTTAGGTCAGAGGAAAATAGAATAATTCTACTTTCTTAATATTGCGTTTACTAAGGTTTTCTTCGAACAAAGTTGATCAGAATTAATAGCTAGAATTATGAGATTATCTCACATTTTTGACGTTAAGGATAGGAGAATCTGAATGCAATATAGTGAAAATGATGATCGATTTTTTCACTTTGAACAAAGAATATTAATATCCAAATACAAAATTTCTGATATGAATAAAAAGAAGCTGTCACTCAATATTCCAAATGAAGTTTTAATTTTTAATTTAGTGCTGAAAACACGCGATGACAATATTCTAAGCGCGGAATTATATTGATGAGATGAACAACAGATTAATTGAATTACCGTGTGAACTAACTCAAAATTGATAACAATGGCACGCACTTTTGCCAGAGTATCAACAAACATTGAATTCCAGAAATTCACACTCTAAAGTGTGTTCTAGGAGGAATTGAATAGTAATTATGATTAAAATCTTATTCAGTGAGCGTAGGAATTAGAACATAACCAAATCATTTATTGTAATATGAAAATTTAACAGCAGATGGATTAGGACATACAATTCTCATCGGTCGTATTGCTTTTTGCAGTAATAATGATTATGAACACATTTTAAATAAATTATATAAATACATTGCTAATTTATCAATATAACTTTGTCAAGTAATCTCTCTCACTTCAGGGTATCTTCAACGCAAAAGTTGATGGCAAACCTCTGAAAAACTGGAACGTGAGCTCCTTCCCACTGGACAACCTGCAACCGGTGGGAAACTTCTCCGTTACGAGTTTCACATCCGGCAATCAAGTGAACGGTCCCTTCATCCTTCGAGCGTCATTCAAGGTGGAGGGGCCACCCCTGGACACGTACCTCAGTACGAAAGAATGGGGTAAAGGTGTTGCTTACGTCAACGGACACAATCTCGGGAGGTACTGGCCGAAGACTGGACCGCAGGTCACACTTTACGTGCCCGGAACATGGCTCAAGACTGGTATTAACGAACTTATCGTGATTGAGTATGAGTATGTGCCTGCTGAACTGAGAATGGTATTCCAGGGGGTTCCCAATCTGGGGAGATCCCACATGAGAGTCAAAAATGATTGAGTTGTCAAATGTAATTATCATATTTTTTATATGAATTACTAATAGTCGCAGTGTACACGATGTTACAAATAAATACTAAAATACACTGATAGACTGATTCATTTATTCTAAACGAGATTCGTTAACTATTAACGAATGGTAGAGTTGAATATGACCAAATGAATATTCGTTAATAGTTAACGAATGGTTCACTTGGTAACTGAAAATCGAGTCAAACAAAGCTCCTCAAATGTACATTCGTTAACTATTAACGAATGAACATTAAATGTTTATAATATGGGCCAATTACATCTATTTTTTTTATATTCTTCAATTTAATTTTTTATATAGGGGAGGTTGGGGTAAAATGGACACTTTTGACTTTTTTAAAAATGTTAATGACAGCTTGAAATGTTGATGAAATTCAATTTTTTTTTTCAATGCAAAGAACATTTCTTTCCCTTTGTGATGAGCCTAAGCTGAGCTCAATTGATAAATTTGTTTCTGAGTTATGAGTAATTTAAAAAAAGTCCAGTGTTCATTTTACCCCATCCTCCCCTATTCTTAATTGATATTTTGAAAGATATGTAAAAAAATATATAAAATACATGTTTCATGTATATTTTTATATATCTTTAAAAATATAAATTTTTCCATGTGGGCAATCTGGGGAGATAGCACATGAGTGTCAAAAATGATTGAGTTGTTAACTGTAATTATCACATTTTTTATTTTTTATATGAGTTACGAATAGTCGCGATGTACACGATGTTACAAATAAATACTAAAATACTCCGTTGATTTTCTTGTATGTAGTGCATTATATTGTCCTCTTCGTTGCAAACTTCGTAAAAAGATGAATGATCGTTTCTCTCCACACGGATATTCATTCCACTGAAAACCCAAGGACTAGTCTCTATTCATTGCATTTTAAAAGTACAAAAATGACGAAGCGTGACGATGCCGTAAAAATCGTTCTGGACAATATTGCCCCAGTGATAGCGCAGAATTTAGTTCTTACGAACTATCAGCGTGAATGGAGAGAGTAATATCCTCCAGGTGATAAATGAGATATCGTCGCGACGGGATGTCCGCTCATCGCGACTGTTAGGATTGAGTTAAAAGTGTGCGGCACCCATCAACATGTTTATGAAGGTGTTATTCATTGTCATCGAACATCACCTGAGAAACTCCGCCTACTGTTACGCGGGGAATTAAGGACAACCGCCCCCGGCATGCGCGATGCCGTTTTTTTTCTTATCCAAGGGTTTTTGATGTTTTTAAATGTTCGATAGTGATCAAAGGTATTTCACACCTCTTCTCGGTCAGATCTTGTGCGAATTCATTGTGACAGTGGTGGGAAATGTCGGGGGTTGAGCTTTGCGAGCAAGAGGCGCCGCTTGATCTGAGCTTTCGGGGGAGCAAGGGATTTCGATCTGTTGGGGATAAAAAATTGCCCTGTGGTGCCTGTGGCAAGTATTTCGATCGTCCGTCGTTGCTGAAGAGACACATTCGGACGCATACTGGTATGCATTGCATGCACTTATTCATTTATTTGTTTATTTATTTAATGCGTTTAATTCAATCGAACAATGTTTTTCGAATTAAAAGAGAATATGACGATCTTTAAAGCAGTTTACACACCGATGGTGAAATTCCTTGTGAAACACGATTGTTTATCTTCATGAGGCTTCCTCATACTCTTGCTTGATCTTTAAAAAATACTGAAGGATTATTAGTGTTGAATATTAATAACTCATCATCGCATTTAATTCCTTCATAATCAACGGAAATTTCATGAGATCTCATTGAATTAATGCATATCATTTTTTTATTTAACTCTAGATTGGCCCCCCTGTGGGGGAAACCACGCCACGCGTCTTTTTTCTTTAATTATAATTGACTGGCTAACCGGATAAATTCAAAAAAATTTGGCTTTGTCAATTGATGTGTCTAAAAAATTATAGTAGTTTTTAGAACAACATATTTTCCAAAATTCCTAAAGAAAGCAAATTATTTCGGACAGATGAATTATTTTTTCCCATGTTAAACGAAATTGCCCATGACGCGACGTTGCCGGAAACTCGCTAAACGCGCCCGGGCGGTGTAGAGTGAATTCGGCAACGCTGAAGCCTAAATAATGGCGGGGAATCCCCGTGGAGGACCAAAGTCGCAAGGTGGCGTTTGGTGACGAGACTAGAGTTAAAATGACTATTGACCACTTTTCAATGAATATCTCAGAATCTAAGGGAGATAGAAAAATTTTTGTTAAAACCTTTTTTGGAGAACCGATTGAGTTCTACAACAAATGTAATTACGAAAATTTCGTTATCTCCCTTAGATTCGGAAATATTCCTCAAAAACTCGACTGGGAGACAAGTCGACTTGAATCGTTTTTCGCTACTGAATTAAAATGTAGATTTAACTTCTTAAAATCGTTCAACCTCTCTATTTTTTAAAATTATATTCACTAGGTGAGAAACCCCACGGATGTTCAGTCTGCGGAAAAATGTTCAGCACAAGTAGTTCCCTGAACACTCACGTGAGAATTCATACTGGCGAACGTCCGCACGAGTGCTCCATATGCGGAAAACGCTTCACTGCCTCTTCCAATCTGTACTACCATCGCATGACTCATTACAAGGTAACTTGCACTCTCTCGATTACAAAACAGTAAATTAATGGGATTGAACGTGTCATCAGGAGAAGCCCCACAAATGCAATAACTGCGAGAGGTCCTTCCCCACTCCTGGGGATCTGCGAGCTCATAATTACTCGCATACGGGCAACTGGCCGTTCAAATGCCCAGTCTGCGGAAGGGGTTTCTGCAAGCCCGGAGCTTTTCATCATCATGTGGAACTGCACAGTGGTGGGTGTAATCCCCCTAGTCCTCTAATTTTTAGAGTTCATTAATTTATTTTTTGTCATACCTGCCTCAAAGTGAATTCTCGTGCGTAAAGCGTCGTTATAGATTTAAATTTTTCTTTAGAAATTCTTGGGTGTAAATTTTCCAAGTCTTTCTGCTATATTTTTATTGTTATCTCGTAATAAAATCCAAGACAAAAAACTTGGGAAGTGCATGCCCAAAAATTCTTATAGAAAAATTGCCAACAGAATAAGTTTTATAGAAAAATCAACATCTATAGAGAATTATCTAATGAAAAATGAATGGGGAAGTCGCAAAATTTTTTTATAAAATTACCGCAAAAAACAAATAGAATTGTGTTGAAAAACTTATTTAATATTGTATTCTTTGTCTCAAAGTAAACCGTTATTCTTTAGTTAGAAATAAATAAACTGAAGTATCCCAAATTGCTGAGATTGGGTCCATATTACTCGTCCATTCTTTCGTAAATAACATATGAAAAGAAGAATGCAAAAAAATTCGCGTCGGGCATTACAATAAATTATATTAAATTATCATTAAAATAAAAAAATCTCGTTTGAGAAAAATTCACTGTTTGTCTCGAAATGGCTTCCGCTCCACGATTACTTGACCTGTTTGTCAATTGTTCTCCAAATTTTTTCACCATGAATTTTCATTAGTTCCCGTTTCCCAACTTTTATTTATCCACTTATTCATTTCTATACCTTGATCTCTGTTTTTTAATTCCAGGCAACTTTCAACACACCTGTAGGCTCTGCCCAGAAGAATTTCCATCCCTCATCGATCTCCACATACATGAAAAAACCCACCTCATCAAACCGTTCATCGACCTACGTAAAATCGTCGTCCCCTGGAGTCAATGGTTCCAATAAAAATAAAACAGCCAAGAAAATCAACATGAAATTAGGTGGGGAATGCAACAAAATAAAGACATTTCTTGTTTAACGAATTGAATTTATGGAAAAAGAGACAGGAATCTATCAAAGATGGAGTAGTACAAAATAATAGTTAATTTATATTTCATGTAAACTCTATCAGTTCTCATCTGGGCCATCCTTGGTCCCAGCTGGCTCAGCCACTGTTTCCTCAGTAATCTCCATCTTTTCGTTGTTTGCCTCATCAGCAACACTCTCGACTCCGTCATCTTTTTCTTCGCCGGAAGGTGGTTTCACCCCTCCATCTCCATTCAACTTCTCCTTCTCCTCTGCCTCCAGCTTCCTGTCCTTCTTGTCCTGTGCGTGGTGGGCAGCTGACTGGGCAGCCTGAGTCTCTGCTGATGTGTCGTGCTTCAGAATCTCTCGGAGAGCCATTGTGGCGTAAGTTGAGGAGCTCAGGGTGATCTCCAGAATCAAGGCCTTGTATTTGCCATCTGTAATTGAAATATAATTTTATTGTATGGAGGAGGTGACAGGCACTTTCTGTCTTTGGGAATTGCTTCTTTCTGTATAATTTATTATTTAATGAGTAAAATTTTCGTCGACTGCACAATTTAGCAATAAAATCATTGAAGTTTTTTATTTTCAGAAAGATTAAAGCTTTTTCACTTTCACAAGATTGAAAACTGTTGACAAAATAATTTTGAAGCACAATTTGTTTTTAATCTAATTTTATATTACTTTATCAAACATTTTGCAACCATTGCGTTATTCATAATTATTGAAATTTGAACTTGATTTCTGTTTTTAAAATGAAAAAATTGGAAGTCTATAATTTAAAAAAAATTAGTATTATGGAAAGTTGAACCAGTTTACGATGAATAATTAAAAACTAATCAATTTTTCTCCTAGACATAATTGTTTTAAAATCGCAATGAATTTCTCTGCCTAAAAAATTTTCAATGTCCATTATGAATTCATAAGACACCAATGTAAATAATGGAGTTGATTGTATGATTTTTTTAAATGTCCTCTGATGTAATTTAAGGAAACATTCAATGACAAAATTTCCAATAGCAGTTGTAAAGACCTTAAAACTGGAAATTAAAGTTAAAAAAAAAACAAATGACGTCATTGTACCTGGCACATCCTTGGGTAGCTCATGATTCCTCATCTTATCGATATCAGCAAGAATAAGATCAGCCTGAAGATCATTATAATGAACTATCCTCCACGACATGTCCTTTGGAACCTGGAGAATCTTCCTGTACTGTCCCCCAAGAGAGTATTTCCTAAAAAAAATCATCACTCCATCCGTCAAATCATCACCAACCAATTCCTGCTCAAATCATCAAAGAAAGAAAATCTTTAAACGTCAAAAAAACCCAAATTCACTCACTGATTCTTCTGCCTCAGATCAGTAGTCAGCCCATCCTTGGCCAGAAACTCCTCGTACCACTCCTTAGCATAAGAAGGATACGTCACCCTCCAGCCAGGCTGTGGCATGACGACATCAGCAAGAGTATAACTCCCCAAATCCTCTTCAGTCAGCATTTTGACAGCTGGGAGTGGGTAGAAGTCCCTCTCAATGACTTCATCCCCAGTTTTCTTCTCCTCTTTCTCCTCCTTCTCCTTCCCCTGTGCCTCCACCACCTCCATCGTTTCCTCCTTAGCCTTCTGACCCGCCTCCTCAGCCCCTGTCCCTTCAGCTGCATCCTCAGCAGATGCCAGCACCTGCTGACCATCAGTCTCCTCCTCCTTATCCTTCTCCTGAGCCTCCTCCGCCTGCTCCACAGAGTCCTCAACAGCCTCAGGTGCCTCCCCAGGGACGGTATCACTGGTGTCACGTTTCTCGTAAACAAGATCCCCCACAATGGGTTTATTCCCCAGCTCCTTGATTCTCCTGGAGACCAAGTGGTTCCACACGAAGCTCTGATAAGCATGTATGTACATGGTCCTGGCGTTTCTGGGGAGAGCATCGAGTGCCCCCTGTGGATTATTCTTCCCACAACTGACGATTCCCCTCAGCAATTTAGCCTCGATCTTGTCCTGCCTCTGAATCTTGTCCAGAGCTGCTTTGGCATCCTTAGTCTTGGCGTAAATTTCCCTGGCCTCAGCCATGTTCAGCAACTCCCCACTCCTCGGCTGGAGGATCAGATCAATGGCTGTACTCCAGTTGGCCTGCAGCAGAGCCTTTCCAATGTCATGAGTGGGAACACTAGCGACAGTACCAAAACGCTGGAGTCCATAGTAATTAATGAAGCCATTGTCTCGTAGACTTGTCAAGGCAGTTTCAATCTCCTCGTCAGTGGCAGTGACATTTCTCAGGGCTATTGTGAAGTGATTGCCTTTCAGCTGGCCCAGTCTCAGTGGATCCTTGGCGAATTTGAAGTTACCTACGAATGCACCACGCACACGTTTACCTGCGTCCAGGATACTCGATGGATGGATTTGCTTCAGGCAGATCCACTGGGTCGTTCTTGCTCGACGATCCTTCGTTCCTGCGTAGGTGAATGAGTTCGGCTTGAGGCGCAGGTGCATTCCCAGGAGGTTCAGGGCGTCCATTGTGTCCATGTTGACTTTGTGGAGGACAAAGTGACAGTAGTTCGAGGGGTAGTTCCATTCCGGACGAGAGTCTCTGTAGAATTTGTTGCCTGGGGGGATTTATTGGGGGGTTAGTTCGTGAGGATTTAAGGGGAATACTTTTTTATTTGGATTACTAGGGGAGGATTTCAATATCGAAATTTAGTATTTCGAGAGAATGGGGATTTATTTATTTGTCTGTCTGAAGCGAGAGTGAAATAGTATTCACTATCTTATTCGATCGATTTTATTAGTTCAGAATTTATCTTCTTAACTAATAAAATCGATCGATAATAAGTATTTCAGAGGGCATTTCTTCAATTCAACATATTTTAATCATAATGGGGAGGTGATAGAGTTGTTTAGGTTGGTGAATTTGGAGATTTTTAAGCAAATCCTGTCATTACTAATAGACAAATAAATTTTCAAGGCATTTTTTGTTCATAAAAATGTAAAAAATCGTTTAAAATCTTATTTGTTATTGGAATAAAATAATACAAGAGTAATTAATCGATAATTTTGCAAAGAATTATTCAAATAATCCAGGGTTGATGTCAAATCCTCCAACAAACAACTAAATCTCCAAACATTTCCTCCTCGTAAAAACTTAATAAAGATTATTTAACTATATTTTTTTTTAATGAACCCTAAAATTTTACCACCTATATATGTTTTATCATTCTTAGCAAGCACCAACAGCTTCTTCTGATCCTTCTCGATGGTCTGACTAACGATAGAGGGAATTTTTTTCCCAATGAAATGCAACATTTTGCGTTGCTCTTTGTCCATATCAGTCACGTCGATCTCCACAGAGTTGACGTTGGCATCAGCCTTTGAGAGCGACTTTATCTGGTCGAAGGTCTCCTGGGGGAGATTCTTCTTCAACTCGTTCAAGTCTAGAGCGTCCTCAGGTGGGGCTGGAATGTCCTGGTTCGTCAGCTGGGAGAGCTCCCCATCGAGGTTGATCTCGTGAACGTGAAAGTCGTTGAAACGTTCTTTGACGATTCCGTTGATGTGCTCGTGGGTGCCCACGAATTCTGTGACACCAATGTCCACCTCCTTCAGGCGATTTGTCACCTCGAACTTGGTGCGCTTTTGGCTGTGGTAGTGGTTCATCGGGGGGCGTTTGTGGAACGGCTTGTCATGGTAGCCACCACGGTATCCCCCTGGGGTGAAGATTTATTGTTTATGAATATTCGTGATCATTAGGGGATGAGAATTGCAATAATTCGAGAACAAAATATTATCAAAGGGATAATAATATATAATATTATTTATTATATTATATATAATAATATATTATACATATTATTATATTATTATATTAATAATATATAATATATTATACATATTATGCATATTATGCATATTATTATTATGCATATAATAATATGTATAATATATTATTATATTATATATTATTATGTATTATAATAATATAATGACGAGACGTTTTTTTCGAGGAACATTAAGGATATTTATGGAATAATTTGGGAATCAATGGGTGAAAAATAAGTGATTTAAAATTTTGTATTTCAATTCAAATTAAATTGAAATTTAAACAAGAAAAATAGTAATTTCATATTTGTTTTTTTTACTATCAAAAATCTTGGAATTTGTTGAAGAATATTCAGGATAATAATGGGATAATTTGGGCCTCAACGAAGGGGAAATAAGATTTTTACTAATTATTGTAATTCGATGTAAATTTTTTCCATGCAAAATGAAAAAAATCCCGATTACAAAAATGATCTGCGAATCACAATATATTCGCCATCGAAACTGAATTCCCGGAACAACGTACTAATCCCCCAATGAGCTTCAAGAATTCTCAGAAATCACCGTGACATCATCTCCGAATAATCCCCTTCTGAAAAATACACAACTCAAACTCACTCCCAAACCCACAATTTTCCTTCAAAATCTCCTAAAAATGAAGAATCCTCGTTCTAAAAATAAAAACTCCAATTCCAACCTTTTTACTCACAATTCAAAAGCCACAAAATCTCCCATAAAACCCCCAAATATCCCACATGACAAGAACAACCGCAGCCTAATCGACAGAACTCAATTGCAGTAGAAAATTTCTTGATGATCAGCTCCAAAAATGCATCAGCTGAACTCCAAAATTAATTAGCAATTCTTTACTTCCCTAGAATTAAAATCTCCCAGACGTAATACAGACCCCGCATGGCAAAAATTCCCTCAAAAACCCTTAAATGTCTCCAGAAAACTCCGAAAAAAATTGAGAAACTCCATAAAAATAATAAATTAATTATTCTAATTGCAGTTTACCTTGCTTGAAGCCTCCCCTGCCTCGTCCCCTGCCCCTGTAGAAGTTGTTCCTCTTTCCCCTGCTGCTATTATCACTATCAGCCATTGCCAAGTCGTCAACAATTGCAACAATGTCAAAAAAACAACGGAAACCCTCGTTAATGCGAGAAAATGTGATTATTAATCGTCAATTTTCGCGAGGTACCACAGCAACTGATGTCCTGAGATGCCGCTGGTATTCTGAGGTTATGTCTGCCGGCGTTCAACTCAATGCTCAATGCGGCATGTGCCGACAACAAAATTCCAACGTATCGACCTTCGAAGGTAACGAAACACAAAGGACAGTGTTTACAATTTTTCAAGCATCTCTCGAGGAATTTTATTGATTCAATACCACTGGACTGATTCTCGTGAGTTTTCGTTGTACTTTATTTCTCGTCTTGTTTATATTTTATCAGGTATAATTTGCACACTATCAAATCACACTTTTAACAGCCTGGAATATAATAACTTCACGCAAGAAACAAAATTTTGTAGAAAAACCTAGTGAATTTGACGGGAAATTCTATTGAATTTTTATTGAATGTTTTGTTTGTTTTTAGTCGAGGCTATTAAAGAATTTCGCGGAGTTATGGGGCTTTTTTAATGGAAAATGGGAAATAAAAATTGTTTTATGGAAAATTCAGTAGAATTTCATCTTTCTATAGAACTTTTTCTATTCAGAGATTTTCTATAAAAATTCCTCAACATGAATTTTCTATTTTTTTAAATAAATTTTTCATTTCTTTTGATTTGACAAATCAAACAAAACAACATGAAAATTTTGAGCTGAAGATTTTTTATAGAAAATATCTGAATAGAAGTTGAGCTGAAGATTTTTTATAGAAAATATCTGAATAGAATAAGTTCTATAGAGAAATCAATTCAATTTTTTTTTTCATCGATTCTATTGAAGAATTTTGTGGATTTACTACACGTCTAGTAAATAGAAACTATTTTATAGAAACTATACAACTTTCTATACAACTATGTTTCCTGAGGCATTTTCTATAAGAATTCTTCAACATAAATTTTCCAATTTTTTCACTTAATTTTTCTCCTTTTTTCATCAATAAAAATATCATAAAATACATGAAAACCTTGTGCCCGGGAACTTCTATAGAATTCCTATAGAAGATATCCCAATAAAATAAGTTGTACAGAAAAATCGAATTCTATTGACGTTTTTTAATAAAGAATATTTCTCATTGAACATTTTTATTTAAAAAACCCAGATAAGTTGCAGAATTTTTCTACAGAAGCGGCCTAAAATCAATATAAAGCATCATAAAGATTCAATCGAATTTTTGAGTCCACTAGGTTTATCTATAAAATTATTTCCTACGTGTTTAATAACGCACGTCTAAATAATGGAATTTCTCGTATTTATATTTTTTTATTCGAGAATGGTGGGATGAGGGGGGTTCAACTGTTGATTATTATTAAGTTATTATCCTATTTTCTTTGGTGGCTCGGACGATTTTCGGTGGTAATGCCCGTCCTTGGTCCCGAACACAGCGTTCGCATTTTTTTGCGGTTTTTTCATTTATAAAAAATATAGTTGAGGAATCCCTGGAGGTGATTCGTGGTAGTCTTGATCGATCACAGGATACTGCAGGTTTTCGACTAAAATTTAAGATAAAAAGTTATTGATTGGAAAATTGTCAGAAGCGTGTACTATTTTTTAATATTTACTTTAGCTTTTACTTGTTGCGGACTGCCTAGTTTATTTCCATTCTCGACTTCTTGTCTTCTGAGATGAAATAATTTTGATATTTTTCCTGAAAAGAGGAATGGATGATTTTTAGTGCTGAGAATTATGTGGGTATCGACAATTTGTTGATAGTATATTTTTTATTTAAAAAACGAAGGACTTTAGGAGAAATTTTCTTTAAAAATGCTCCCAAAGAATAATAAAAAAAAATTACTGATCCCGACATTGAAATCTCTCACCGCCAAAACATTGAACAATCGTAAAAAATCTTGTAGTATTGAGCCTAACTGCGTTATAAAGGTTGCAATTGCTTAGGATTTTTTTAATTGTAAAGATTGACACAAATTTAATTTTTCAAAGAATATTTGAATACTTTAGAAAATCCGAGAATTTTCGCAAATTTTCCGATAACCAGAGAATTTTCAAGAATTTTATATAAAACCGGAGAATTTTTTCTAATTTTCTAGATAATTCTAAAATTCTCTAAAATTTTAAAAATCCGGAGAATTCTCTCGAATTTTTTTGTAAAACCGGAGACCTTTCAAGAAAATTTTCAAATTTTCTTGAAATTTCCAGACAGTCGGAGAGATTTCCAGAATTTTCTAGAAAACTGAAGAATTTTCTCGAATTTTCTAAAAAAAACCTAGAATTCTCTAGAATTCCTCTAAACGACTCTGGGCGTTACGGGTAACTCCGCGAATGACCCCCAACACAAACCAAAAGCCGTGTACACATAAAAAAATCTTACTCCTTCAACCTCNAGAATTTTTTCTAATTTTCTAGATAATTCTAAAATTCTCTAAAATTTTAAAAATCCGGAGAATTCTCTCGAATTTTTTTGTAAAACCGGAGACCTTTCAAGAAAATTTTCAAATTTTCTTGAAATTTCCAGACAGTCGGAGAGATTTCCAGAATTTTCTAGAAAACTGAAGAATTTTCTCGAATTTTCTAAAAAAAACCTAGAATTCTCTAGAATTCCTCTAAACGACTCTGGGCGTTACGGGTAACTCCGCGAATGACCCCCAACACAAACCAAAAGCCGTGTCCACATAAAAAAATCTTACTCCTTCAACCTCCCCCACACGGAGAGAAATGTTCAGTAAAAATTACGGAACTCACAGTTCGCTGACCGATTACGGAATCGACCCAGAAAATTTGAGTGACGGTATAATTTTTCACAGGAGATTCAGGCAAAGATCACGAAACGCTCTGGAAAAATTCCACTACAGTTCCGTAAAATTTCCTACAACCACATTTGGCTCCGGCATTACGGAAAAGATACGTAATTTTTTTTGAGTATTTCTCTCCGTGCAAGAACTCCTAAAATCCCGCAAAATCGAGATTACCTCCCCGAGAAACGGGCGATTGCACGACGTCAGCATCATCACCGGCAATCCCAATCTTCTCCCCGATGGCTGCGACAGTCTCCATGGCCTTCTCCTCCACCTTGTCCACCTGATTCGCCACCTCATTCCCTATCTGGTCTATACTGCTCTGAATGACTGCCTCCATCGGCACAGTTTCATTCGACTCAGCCTTCGATTTTCCCGATTGACTTTTCTCACTCCCCGCCGATTTTTTCCCCGACCCCCTTTCACTCTTCTTCTCCTCCTCCTCATCATGTCCCTCCGTGTTTTCCTGAGGCTCTTCGAGGCTCGCATTTGCCTCAAGAATCGACATTTTCCCGGAGCTCTTTCTCGATTTGTTGCCACCACTCGAGGATCCACTCTCCGCACTTCCGGTCTTCTGGCGCGGAGGTTTCGGCGGCGGAACCGGAAGTGGGGGTGACTCGGCAGGCTCTTTATTCATCTCCTCGCCGTTGGGATTTTCTTCCACAATTTTTTCTTTTTCGTTTTCATTCCCTCGCGTTATTTCATTCGCTTCGTTCACTTCATCTTTTTCATTAATCTCATCTTTCGAATTTGTTTCATCTTTTGAATTTGTTTCATTATTCGAATTAGTTTCGTTCATCTTATTCATCTCGTCGTCACCTCGACTGACCCTCGATACGGAAGACTTTGGTCTCTCCACTCCCTCTGGTTTTTCCCCTTCCTCGGGGTTCTCAGCGTCGTTGATCTCGTCGGAAGGATCAGGTTCCTTTTGCATCTGGTGTTTTTCGTTAGTCATTTCGTCTTCTTTGACTTTAATCTCCTCGGACTCGCTGTAGTCCGACGGCATCTTCGGGGGCTCTGGTTTCTCCACTTCGTTTGGCGGAGACTTTGGCTCCTCCGTCTCGTCGTTTTCGAGCTTCTCCGAGGCGATTTCGTTTTCGCTCTCCTCGTTGTTACCGATGATGGGGCCATCGGGCTTTGCGGGGGGACTGTCGTTTTGGATGCGCGATGCGGGGACTTTCAGAGGGGGTAGTGCATTTATTTTCTGTGGATGAGAGGTCAATTGTAGATATAGCAAGGAGGTGGGTATGTTCGTTCTACACTGAGAGGAAAAATTATTTTTGCCGAAAAATTGTGTTTCCCTGAAATGCGAATTCTTTTCTCATTCATCTATTTTTGTATTTTCCGTGAAATTAGAATTTTTTCATATCAATTCATTAATCATATAAATTCATTAATTATTTATTATCAATTAATAATAATAATAAAAATAATAATAATAATCACAATTTATAATATCCATTTATAAATTAATTTCAATTCTTATTATAATTTCTTTTTTAAGATGTTTTTCTATCTGAATTTCTTAAAAAAATGTATATATATATTAATATATATAAACATGATATATTATATTCATATTATATCTTAAAATATTACATATTTTTACATATTTTTTTATTATTCAAATAAGTAAATAATAATAATGATAATTATGAATGAAACTTTTTCTTTTCTAAAAAAAATCGTGTTCCCCAATATATTTATGTATATTTTTATACCTAAATTACTATATTTTCATCCCTAAAATCCATACATTCTCAACATATATTTACTTTCATGTTTTGTTATTTAAAAATAACTCCGAAACTCACCATTTGTTTAGATTCATCATCCCCATTTTCCATTTCCCGCCTCCGTCCAACCAAAATAGTGTGACAACCACCGCATGCAACCTTTTAAAAAAAAAAACAAAATGAAGTAAAAAAGAAACATAAATTGCGACATCGATTTTTCATGCTATCTCAATGACTGATCAAATAAACGTGAAATTACATTTGTGACAAAGAGCTCCTGATACTTGATAGCATGTGTCAACTCGTGTACGTTATTCTCGTTCTCCTCGAGACCCAGTTTCCCGTGTCTACCATCGCCGCACGTGAAAATTTTACCAGAGCCTTTGGAGAGAATAAAAAGCATAATCATGATGCATTACATGCGAGTTTAATTAATGACTCTTGGGGATAAAGAAATCGAGCGGTATATCACCTGTAACAACGGCAATGTGACTTTCACCGCAAACAACTTTTATGATGCTCTCGTCCTGCAATGCACCACGTGCAAGCTGTTTTGGGGTTTGAATTTCGGTTACACTTGTGCCCATTCCTAATTGCCCACTTGCGTTGCTCCCTGTGCAGTAGATGTTGCCGTCGTCTAAGTGGAGAAATGCATGCGGTATTGTGATTATCAGGACAGGAATGGGTTCTAACGTTGTTTTTTAATTTTTTTTGAGCGAAATTTCTCGCAGATTTTTTGGGAATCTTTGTCAAGCGACGATTTGAAGTGAATTTCAAAGAATTTCGTCATTGAAAATTCATAATTTAATTTGAAATGGCAATGGAAATTCCAGATTTCAGTTTAATTATTCTGGGGAAGTTGATGGAAACTAGAAAAATTTAGGTTCGTGTTTTTTCAGTTAATTGTGGTTCAGTAAATTCTGATTGAAATTTTCGTCTTCCTGATCCTCAAAAATTACGGATTCCATTGAATTTTGAGTAAAATTGCAAATTTCAATTTTTTTCTAACACTTTTGTTAACAATTTTCATAATTTGTTCATAATGAATTAATTGTGCATAAATTTTTGATTTTCCAATCAATTTTGAATCCAGCGTAATTTGCGCTGAATATTCCTGTTTTGATTGAAAATTTCATCATCGCGCTCCTCAAAAGTCTTGAATTCCATTGAATTTTCAATTTTTTCCCCAACAATGATTTCCACTTGAGTTTCCGGGATTTTTAGGAATTTTCACTGAATAATTTAAAAGTCATTTTTTCGAAATCACAAAAAATTTTCCCATGTTCACAATTTCCCCAGGATTCAACTTCATTCTAGAAAAATCAATGTTTCGAACCTTCAAACAATTTCTGTTATTTATTTATTGGACAAAAATGTTTTGAACGCTATTAAATTTCCGCAAATTGTCATTTCAATAGAGCTTTTTAAATTTTGAATTTCTCTCGCACAATTTATTCGACAAAATTCATCATCGGAAGCTCTTCACTCGGATGATATCGTCCAATTTATGATAGCGAAATTAATTTAAAAAGTTGGTCCACATGAAAATGTTTTATCACCTCCGAAAACGAGTGTGTGATGACCGCCGCAGGCAACGTGAGCAGCTTTCACGGATAGCGACATCTGTTTGGGCGCCAACTGTGTCCTAAAGTCCAGGACTATGCCCAGTTTTCCACTTTCCGCTTCGCCGCAGACGTAAACCGCTCCGCTCTCTAGAAAAATTGCAATTCCGTCGGATTTTACGGTTTTACAACTATCAATTTACCTGCCCAGATGAAATTGGTTTTTAGGAAATTACGTTTTCGGGATCTTTTGATGGAACAAGTGGCTAATTATAGTCGACTGGGTTCCGAGAAGGCCGGGTGAATGTAACAGGATGGAAATAATCGATTGCATCAATAAAAAATAATTGTCGATTATTGATATAAAGTTACTTGTGAAGATTTCCAAGTACTGCACCATTTTTTTTGCAAAACGATTTTTGGTTTTACTTTTAATTTGTAATTGAAAATTTTGCAATGATTTCAAATTTCATTCTTCACATGTTCAACCGCTGAAAAAAATTGAAAACAATAAAAAAAAATGGAAAATTCATTTAATGAGAAAAAATGAATAGAATAGTCAAATAAATTGTAAGTTCAAGCGTACGACTTTTTTCATAAAAAAATTATGAACAATAATTTGCCGTAAAATCATTCATTTAAAGTTTCATCAAAAATCATAATTTTACAAGAAATTGAAAACATCTCTGAAGTTTAAACAATTTTCATTATTTATTTACGAGCATGAAATGTTAAAAATAAGAGCATTCCTTTGCGAAAAAAATTTCTCAAATTTATCTTACACAATAAAATAAAAGAAAATTGATGTCTAAAATTCCCCAAATGTTCTCTCGACCCAAGACGTCTCAAAAACCTGTGAATTGAACCCACTGACCTGTCAAAAAGGCCGAATGATAGTACCCAGCACTGATTTGCTTGACTGGCTCCGGTATATGAACCCTCGTAGGTGTATTAATGAGACCGGAAACCCCATGTAGCCCCAGCTGTCCCTCTAAATTGCTACCCCAGGCGAGAACTCCACCATCGCTGGTCAACACCAGCGAATGCTGTGATCCAGCAGCAATTTCCAGCACCTTGGGTCCATCCATACCACAATCGTAAATCATAATTGGTGAGCTCGAACTATCGCCCACAGTCTGTTGACCTCTTCCCAATTGTGACTCTTGGTCACTTCCGCATGCAAATATCTTCTGCCCATCTGCAGTAGGTAAATTCCGTATTGAGTCAGACCGTTTTCGTGAATTCATGTTATCCCGTTTTCCTCATTATTCATGCGTCCATGGAAAATTGAAAATTCTAATTGCTGTCATCACCATTAGAATTACGCGATCGATATTCTGTTTGAGATTTCGCTATCTTAATGGGGTAATCTACAGTTATACATGAATTTCTCATAAAAATTTCCCCTGCATGAATCAGGGTGAACTGAAAAATTATCATATAGTGCAATATCGGAGGAGTTGAGACCCATAATTTATTGAATTATCTTACTAGTCATGTTTGCTTGTATGTTACATTCGCGTTAGATTTTTTTCTGTAGAATAGTTGCAATTAGAAGCGATAGTAGCGGTCACATTTGGATGGGTGTCCGCCTAGCCCTACGTCCTCGAGTTTTCAAGGAATATCTCAGAATCTAAGGCAGATAGCAAAAGTTTCATTATAACCTTTTTTGTAGAGCGAATTGAGAGCTATGAAAAAGGTCGTGACGAAAATTTCGCTATCCCCCTTAGATTCCGAGATATTCCTTAAAAACTGAGCTGATAGCTAAGTCGAACCATTTTACCGCTTCGGTACTGATCTAGTCTGATAGTAGGGAAAAATTATGAATAAATATTTGGTATTAGACACAGCAAAGCTGCGGTAGTTCAATGGAAATCCCATAGAATTCGTATTCTCGTTAATTCAAACAACTTTGAGTAGTGGAAAATTGTACCCCCCATTGTAACTCCTTCAAGCGTCATTCCCTCATATTTCATAACTCAATCAATAACGGTTGATGACATAATCAGAAGTGTCTCACCTGTGCATATCAATGTGTGAGCCCTCCCGCATGCCACGTGCGATACTTTCTCCGGTTTGAGACCTGCAAAAGCCCCCCAACCATCATCCATTAAAATTCATGTGGCGAATAGATAAACAACTAATGCCCAAAAATCGACAATTTCTCGGGGAGAAACTGCCCCCCCTGGACTATCGAGATTACCGACTTTTCACGCACGAAGGCTTGCTGACGTGATTCTTGTGGCCGAGACCCAATTGACCCCAATCGTTGCTACCAAAGACGAATAACCTTCCGCTCTCTTGGAAATATGAAACAAAATACGTGTAAAAATTAGGGCCATTTAATTTACCACAGTAACTGCTATCCCCATGGTCATCATCAACATAATGACTCCTGTCCCAAAGAGCCAGATAAAGCCTTTACGACTCTCCGCAAATTGCGGAATAAAAGACCAAGGGTTCGCAGGAGTTCATTCTGTTATTCCGTGGCATGTATATGCGTATCGATTTTCAGTTGGACAGAGTGGTTATCCTTTGTGTACGGGTTGAGGCTTTTCTGGAGGGATATATCATGGTTTAAATGTTAGCTGCAGCTGCTGTAAATCATTTGATGGTTCGACTCTCGGAGGCCAAACGATTCTCCTTCACCTCGCGCCTCTTCCACTCTAGTCATAAAGTTTGCCATCAAAATATTTGCGGACAACATTTGTGGGGGGTATATAGGGAGAGGAGGAAATGATTAAGGATGGGGGAGGGATCTTTTAGTATCGGAAAAAAACTGCCGAAGAAGTTTTGCTTGAAAGAATTTAGTAGTAAATACGGGGAATGTGTTTTTTAAGAGAGAGATAATGAAACGATAGCAACCCGTTCGCTACGAACGAGGTCTTTTTTTTATTGAGTTTTACTTTTTGAGAGATATTCCAAATCTCGGGGAAAACGCGAACAAATGGTAAATCTGAGTGAGGATTGTGAGACGAACTTATAATATTTTCGATGTGTCTGAATATTTTTTGCATAAACCTAATCATATTCTTTAATAAAAAAAATCAAATTCATTGAATCTTTCATTATGCAAGTTTGCTGGAAATGTTTGTAAATTGATTTCTAAATGAATCAATATTTAACAATTGTTCCCAATAGTAAAATAATTTTGCAAAAGCTCCTGTAATCGAGGATCAAATAGAGTTTAAATTGAAGCTCCGACGTTCAAATGAATATGAATAATAAATGAGATTTCAGCGAAATTGAAAGTCCGAATTGGCATATATCCTCGAAGCCCCATAAATTTTCTAAACCTCCAATTCACAGACTTCTTTTGCCATTTTTTCCATGTACACAATGCTCTATTGATCCAATTTTAGACGTAATACGCGATATTGCGGTTAAAAATGTAATAAATACGCGAAATGTGTTTTTTAAGAGAATAATAATGAAGCGATAGCAACCCGTTTGCTTCGAAAGAAATATTTTTCTTTGAGCTTCAGTTTTCGAGAGTTATTCTCATCCGAAAATTCAGCTTCTTGAGCCGAATATTTCATACTGCATCTTCCAAATCTCGAGGGAAACGTGAACTAATTATAAATCCGAGTGAGGATTGTGTGACGAACTTATAATATTCTTTAGATCAAGTTAATCATATTCTTCAATAAAGTTTCTGTCGTGGATCCTTAAAAAAATCAAATTCGTTGAATTTATGAGTTTGATTGAGTTTTAAATTGTTCTAAATGATAAAATAATTCCACAAAAGCTCCGGTAATCGAGGATCAAATAGTTTAAATTCAAGCTCCGTTCAAATATGAATAATAAATAAGACTCCAGCGAAATTAAAAGTCCGAAGTAGCATATCCTCCAGGGAATACCCTCGAAGCCCCATAAATTTTCTAGACCTCCAATCCACAAACGTCTTTTTCCATTTTCTCCATGTACACAATGCTCTATTGATCCAATTTCAGACGTAATACTCAATATTGCGGTGAAAAATGTAGGTAACATGTGCGAGAAGGGCTCTCAAAGGATAGCCCACTCGTCCAGTTATTGATTATCCCATAAATCATTCATCGAATGGTGTACAAATCGATACGCTACATGCTGCATCCACTCTCGATTGAATTGAACATGATTTTTGAGGATAAAATTTATGAAACAGGAACTTGTTGTGATGATGAAATACTCACGACAAACAACTGCCGAGTGCTCGTCGCCGCAGGCAATGCTGATCACCGGATCTTTGCGGATAAAAAAATGCGACGCTACGTTATCGGCGAAACGACTGCGGCCCAGTGTAAACACTGCGCCTGTGTCTGCAATAAAAATTATTGTTTTTAGCGCTCGAGCCTCTGCTGATATGGCATTACGGGCTTTTATTATTGATGGCATGGTGCAAGGCTGGGAGGTGGGATCACATGTGATGCACCTGGGTCGGACATTCACGTGGTTGTGGGGGGTAGTGTCGTTGGCCTAGCTGCGTTTTCATCGATTCAACGGGGTTGTTGCGATTCGAGGTGTGACAGTGGGGAATTTTTAATTGAGGAGGGCTGTGGGATGACGGGCACGGGAATAAGAATATTCCAATTTTAGCCGGAGGGAAAAATTGAGGAAAATTATCTCGAGAAATGACGCAGAAATCTAATAAAATTGATATTTTTAATCATTCATATTCGTAATTTCAAGTTTTTTTATTCTTTTGACAATTTTTTTGTTGGAAATTATTAAATGTTTTTTATTCTTAGGAAAACGTTTTATTTATGTTTTATGTGGAGTGGATAATTCATTCATTCATTCTAAATAGTTATTTCATTTTTAGTTTATGCTCAGGGAATAAAAATGTGTCAATTCTGTCCAGAATAAAGAATTAAGGAAAATTATCGGAAGAAATGACGCGTGTGAATTTAATAATATTAGTATTCTTAAAAATTATTAATATTTTTAATTTGAAATTGTTTTTCATTCTTTCAACTGTATTTTTTTTTGGAAATTCATAAACTTGTGTATTTTTTTAGGAAAATATTTCAATCATGCGAAATGAATAATTCATTCATCCATTCGAAATTCATAAATTTGATTTTTTATTAATCTAATCTACACAATTATTTCATTCATAATATTAAAGAATATTTTAAAAAATATTAAAGAGCCACTAGTCCTTGAATCAGAATAGAAACGCAATTGAAAATTGAATTTAAGATTGAAAAAAAAGCTCCCTAAATTCGTTGATTCCATTTAGATAAAGTGAATTCTAATGAATAATTTCTCCGTGTGTGGAACGAAATGCAATAAAAAATACTTGAAGAAAATTTCAAAATTTTGAAAAAAAAAAACTCCTGAGGGAGCAAAAATTACCTCTCTCTCCAAACAGTAATTTTTCCCCAATTCCTAAAAAATAACAATACAATTTTCATTCTCAATTTTTATTTTTGAACATCACCATCTCATCCACAACTTCGAGTCTATTTTTGGAAATTTCTTGACGTTGATTAGACGTTTCCTCACATTCACAAATATCAACCCTACTTTTTCCCTTAGAATATTCTCCACCCCCGCAATCTCACAATCATCGCATGCATTATATACCAGAAAATATAATTTTGCTCAGTCACAACTGGCCATATAATTAATTCCCTCCACCCTTGACCTTGGCGAAAGGAAAAATCGAAATGAGAGAAATATCGCTATGACTTGGGTTTAATCTCCGGGATCTTTTGAGTTTGATGGGAGTCTGGGCACTAGGCCGGCTGCTTTACGATTTTTTATTTCTCAAGGAGCACCGACCAGGTCAGCCCGGTGTTTTTATTATCGTTTCGTGATCTCCACTCGTTGGTCGACACGAAACGCCCACGAAAAGTCGAGCAGTGGGAGAGAGAAAATAATAATGGGAAAAATATTGGTCAGTGGGGGGAGGAATGGCGAGTACTCTGGGTCAAATTGAATTATTCGCTCGCTGATGATGATGATAATGATGATGATGATGACGATGGAAATATGTTTTTCCTGCTTAATCCATATGTATTCACAGCTAGGCAATGTTTTGTGGGAATCTAATGAAAATAGCATTTATTTTTCGTCTCGATGAAAAACTCCATTATACATTGAAATAATTTGACTGAATTTTCCGGAAAAAGACTTTGAATTCGCGTTTCACTTTTTTGAAATCGTAATTCACGTCTATTTCGAGCGTCATTTACGTTATCAAACGGGTATTTTAGCGGTTTGAAAATTTATTATTCCCCGAGGACATGTTATTCTTTTTGGCTCATATTTTCAAATTTTTTAATTTCCTTGAAAAAATATTTTAAAAATTGTCTGCTTTAATGGCAGACAATTGCATTGAAAATGAAAATGAATGAATGAATTGGAAAACACCCATAAAAATGACAGTCTACCGATTGTTCTCAGTGGACGGAGAGAAATTTTCTAGAAAAATTCTAGTATGAGTACTGACAAAAATCACAATCCACCGGTTGTGAAAAATCCTAGTGCTGTTAAGGTCAAATTTCTCAGGATTTCTGGTAAAATTTCTGGGGATTTCTGTGAAATTTTCACAGAAATATGGGAAAAATTCACGTTTTCCCAAATAAAATTTCCAGTGCCAACCTGGAATTTTTCCCTGGCCGTCACTTTGCGCCTCTTTTACCGTGCTAGCACTAGAATTTTTCTAAAAAATTTCTCTCTGTGTGAAGTAATCAATTGGAAGTACTAGAATTAAGCATAAAAATACTTGGGAGAAGATAAAAATTTACTTTTCACCAATACCTTTGGTACTTGTGAAAAGTACTAAAAGTACTGCCAGAAAGTATTAAAACTTCCTCCCAGTGCTATTTCTACTTGATCGGCAGATCTTGCACTTCACTCAAGGACACTAAAAGGACTTGGACAAGTACTTTCCGAACTTTTCCGGTGAGAAGTACTTTTTTTTAGTTTACTTGGATATTCTTAATGAGGTTTATTTCACCCCGTAAGGGCTTTTAATCCCAGATATTCACAAGAAAATGCTAAACACTAGTACTTTCACTCTCTATTAACGTGTCACCGACATTTTCGAGAATGAATGGCCGATGAATAATGCAGAACGCTTAACGTTTGAACTTTTGATAAGAACGCAGCGTAAATTCTCGAGGCGTTTTCTCTGTATATCCACAAATACACTCGTTTAAATTGCATCACTATATGACCTTTTGTATGAAGAGGTAGCACCCCACAACTTCAACTGGTTTGACTCCCGCCTCGAATACACACGGAGTTGATTCATGGACATCCTCCCTGGTCAGACGATATGGTGATTTATTTTTCGAGAGGACCTTGGGGCACAACTTCCCACTTCTCACGCACTTTTGTTTTTTCATTTACCGATTTTTATCCGGGTGTACATTGATGTGGGTAGATATAGGTCGACTGACATGTTTTCGATGCCAATTTGGGAGAATAACATTGATGTTTTCATGTGTAATTGAAAATTTTATGATATTCATGATTAAAAATTTTTTTTTCACGCAATTTAATTGACAGATTTAATGATTGAAAATATCTGAATCTATTCTGCTGTCTGTACCAAACTGTAAAAGATACTTTGACACGTACGAAAAACTTTAATAGAAAAAGTCAGTAGAATTCGATTTTACAAAGTTTGTTTGTTTGATTTTCTTGATGAGAGAATAAAAGACAAATTGAATGAGAAAAAGTTGAAAAATTTGAACCGAGGAAATTCTACAGAAAATATATGAAGAGAGTAAGTTATACAGAAAAATCGAATTCTATTGAAACATTTCAATAGAATCGGCCAAAAACTAATAGAAAGTCCAATGGAAATTCAATAGAATTTTCTAACTAATTCGCTAGGATTTTTTAGTGATGATTTCACTGAAATTTCAAGGATCTTAATTGAAAGTTCATAATTTGACGAGAAAATTAGTGGAAACTATTGATTTCAGTTCAATTATTCTTGAAAATGTCGATGACACGTTAATAGAGAGTGAAAGTGCTCGAGTGCTTAGCATTTTCGTGTGAATATCTGCGATTAAAATCCCTTGCAGGCTGGAATAAACTTCATTAAGTGAGGTTTAGTGACAGTTTTACTGAAAGTTCAAAGAACTTCGTAATTAGAAGTTCATAATTTGATGAAAAAATCAGTGACAATTGTTAATTTCAGTGCAGTTATTCTTGAAAATGTCGATGACATGTTAATAGAGAGTGAAAGTACTCGAGTGTTTAGCATTTTCGTGCGAATATCTGCGATTAAAATCCTCCACTCGGCAAAAATAAACATCATTAATGCACCTGTGACGACTACTGCGCGTTAACGTTCACATTTTCAGCGCGAGTTATGGCTAAAAAATTTAATTGTCAAATAAATCTTCGATAGTTATACTCTCATCTGCGTGATTTGAATATCTGTATTCCGAAAACTCTTACACAGCCAGGAATACATTAACTACTCTTGCCGTAGGTCGTCGAACTCGACGTTGCAAGCGGATCGCAGATCGATGCGCACGAAAAAATACCATTCATGAAAAAGTTTGCATGGGATATAGGGGGAGACGAGTCTGGGACGGAATAATATTGGTGTAACCACTTGTTCATGCATGCATGAGAGAAAAATGGAGGACAATGGAGAGATTTTCCTGTCATTTCGGAAAACGTATTTTATTCTCTCGGAAAAACCCGAAGAAAGATGAATCTTGATTTTGTCAAATCAATTTGGAAAGTAATTAAATTAAATTCTTCGTTAGAAATTGTTTTATTAATTTCAAAGATATTTTTGTTGGGAATTAATAAACTAATGTGTATTCCAATAAAAATGTTTCAATTACACGCACGAAAAAATTTCAGAGAAACAATCAGAGAATTTTTATTAAAATTATTTCTCTCTGAGACGATGATAACAGATTATAAGTAGCTCATGACTTTTGTAATATTTTTGAAGCAAAAATTGCATCATTTTTTATTAATGATTTGATAATAGCTATGGGAGGAGACATTAACCAATTTCATAAGGCGAGGAGATTTAATACGTAAATTACGAGAAAATTTTGTTCATACTATACAATAGGTGAAACAGTATAACATGTGGTTTCGTTAAAACATCAAGTATATATTTAGAAACTTTGGTCCACAGATAAATAAACTTTCCTGAAGAAGTGTGCACATCAAAAGTTGTCAAAATTAAAAAAACGGGGGGATTTTCATTTTTTCAAGATAGAAACTTTTAATAATTTTGCTGATTCGAGACCATAAATTGGCCGAAAGGAGTTGTTCAATACCGTTGTTCAATACCTGAATAAATAGATTTCCATCCGCAGACTTAGCGAATTCACTTTAAAATGGAGCGTAAAAGTGCGGATTTGATCGAATAATTCCGGCTATAAGAAAAATACAGCGGTCACGTGTGATTATGACATAACTCTACCCAGTTATTTGCAGAGATGGATGAATAATTCAGTGGTGAGTGCGACAATTTCAAGTCTTCAGCAAAATATTCCCGTTTGTTTTAAATAAATCGTTTGCAGTGGAATAAATAGTGCGCCTGGGGGAGGATTCAGTGTTTAGGTGCATTTGATACTTTTGATTCAGTCGTTACCCGGTATGTTGTCAATGTCGGGGAGGCCCATGTTTACACCCTGCTAAGCGCAAAGCCAGTCGACTAACTGCCGGCACTGTGACACCGGGCACTAGCGTGGTAGCAACTTTGAACGGTTGACGTTGCCAAGCAACAACTCGGGGGGGAAATCAATTCCAAAACGAATGGCTCGCCACCTTCGCTCACAACTGGACACGAATCCCCCGCACGACTGCGAGTCACGTGAAATTTTCGAAATTTCATTGTTGACGGAGTGATGCAGGGTTTTAGTATGAATTTTTTATTCGGGAGGGGGGGACTGGGCGTCAATAAGTGAATGGGGGGGTTTTGGGGTGATGAGTTTGCTCGGATTAATTAGGGGTTGGGGTGACTCTGTGGCAATTGGCGGATGACAGTTATTGGTTCAGTTTATTGAAGGAAATAGCTTGTCCTTGAGTTTCTGCGGGTTTTAGGGGATTATCGAAGCAGAAGTTTATAGTTTGCAATGCATTTGAGAATGAAGCTGGGAGATAAAACGAATAAGGGAGCATAATGCACTGTTGAGAATTTTTTGCAATTTTTTAAATGTATTCTTTGGAAATTTTCTTCACGTGACAGTTCCACTGAAATTTTAAGGGATTTCTTCGTTAAAAATTCAAAATTTTAGGAGTTCATTAATGCTAACTCTAATTTTCAGTTCATTTAGTTCATGAAAATCAACATAAATCAGAAAAATTCAAAATAATTTGTTATTGAATATTCATATGTGCTATTAAAATCATTGCAGATTCAAGTTAGGAATTTTTGTTTTTTTGTTGCCGACAAATTTGGAATACAAATTTTATGGGTTCATGAATGGTAACTCTAATTTTCAGTTCAATTAGTTCGTGAAAATCAATATAAATTAGAAAAATTCAACATAATTTGTTATTGAATATTCATGTGCTATTAAAATAATTGAAAATTCAAGTTAGTTAGGAATTTTTGTTTTTTAGCTGCTGAAAAATTTGGAATTCCCGTGAAATTTAAAGTAGAAAAAAATGTGTTCACAATACGATTTTATTGTCAAATCGCGATCTTTTATTTCATATTGAATCCAATAAGCTCAAGAATAATTTAATCACCCTAATAATAATTTAATAACTCTAACAAAAAATGTCATGAATACTAAACAAAATAATCCAAAACTTAATAATCGTTGGTGTCTAGAGCCAGATAAGGAGCCAAAACAAAGCATGTACTCGGATTTGAATGAAAGTTATTTTTGGAGTCGTTATTTTCCGGAAACGACAGTGATAAAGGGGGTTTAATTGACCTCGTGGGACAGCCGGGAAATATCGGGTTCCAAAGCCCTTAAATAACTTCATTTTCATAAAAGATGATAAATTTGAACATTTACCCCCGGGTCAAGAGTCAGATATAATCAGATATATAATTTTGGAGGGAAACCCCGCCGTGGGATCTGGCGTCGAGAATTTTCCTGATTCACTGGCGAACCGGAACATTAAATCAGTTTGACAATTTTAAATCGATTTGACTGTTGGTCAGTTTTGAATGAATATCTCTGAAAATTTTCGGCCTAATCTTTTTTAGAGAGCGGATTTAGAGCTGGAAAAAAGCGTTTATTCACTTATTGTTTAATTTGCACTTGACAAAAGATGATTAATTGCCTCGGAACTGCTGAAACTCCACTGTTCATTCTCTTCCCCCCAATTTTCACTAAACAGGTTCGGGTGTTAAAGAAATCCCTCGGAGTTTCTAATGAATACATCAATCATTGAATATTCCTTTGAAGGGGAACAAAGGTTAACGAGCAAACTTGAGAAACTTCTGGGCACATTTGTCTTTACAGAGGAATCTTACTCTGTATAATTTGAGGTGTCCATTTCTCCGGAAATTCATGGAAGGTTCAGAAACCTCCGGAAAATTCGTGAATCGCCTCTGCGAGCCTCTGAAAGGCTCTTCAATTTTTCAATACAAAATGTTCCAAAAAACTCTGGAATGTTCTAGAAATTTTTAGGAATTTCGCGATTTGTGCAGAAGCTAAAGAATAAATTTCCGCTTCGGAAAATCATGACAGGAACACGACGCATGACGCGCGAAGCGCGTCTTCGATCTTGTTATATAGTAAATTTGAGATGTCCGCCTCTCTGAAAAATCATTGAATGTTCTAGAAAGTTATAGAGCGGTCTAGACCGGTACAGAATCTTCTAGAAAATTTGAAAATCATTTTGGGAAAATCGTGCAGGATTATTCGGTTTTTATGAAAATTATTAGGAGTTCTAGAAAAATTTCTCGACAATATTTCAGAATATTCTAGATTTTTCCAGCATTAATCGTCCAAATGTAGGTTCCAGTGGCTAAATTATCGCTAAACCTAGTAGTATTTTCTCCAAGATTCAAGATCCCTTTGGAATGAAAAACAAATTATGGATTTTCAATAGAAGTTTTCATCGCTTCCTACGAATTTCTAAAGAAAGAAACATAATGATTTCAATCAACTTACAATAATAACGTGATGAATCATATAAAATGTATTAAATTACTAGACGCGCGGAGCGTGTCTTCGATCTTGTTATATAGTAAATTTGAGATGTCCGCCTCTCTGAAAAATCATTGAATGTTCTAGAAAGTTATAGAGCGGTCTAGACCGGTACAGAATCTTCTAGAAAATTTGAGAATCATTTTGGGAAAATCGTGCAGGATTATTCGGTCTTTATGAAAATTATTGGGAGTTCTAGAAAAATTTCTCGACAATATTTCAGAATATTCTAGATTTTTCCAGCATTAATCGTCCAAATGTAGGTTCCAGTGGCTAAATTATCGCTAAACCTAGTAGTATTTTCTCCAAGATTCAAGATCCCTTTGGAATGAAAAACAAATTATGGATTTTCAATAGAAGTTTTCATCGCTTCCTACGAATTTCTAAAGAAAGAAACATAATGATTTCAATCAACTTACAATAATAACGTGATGAATCATATAAAATGTATCAAATTGCTAGAAGCGCGGAGCGCGTCTTCGATCTTGTTATATAGTAAATTTGAGATGTCCGCCTCTCTGAAAAATCATTGAATGTTCTAGAAAGTTATAGAGCGGTCTAGACCGGTACAGAATCTTCTAGAAAATTTGAGAATCATTTTGGGAAAATCGTGCAGGATTATTCGGTCTTTATGAAAATTATTGGGAGTTCTAGAAAAATTTCTCGACAATATTTCAGAATATTCTAGATTTTTCCAGCATTAATCATCCAAATGTAGGTTCCAGTGGCTAAATTATCGCTAAACCCAGTAGTATTTTCTCCAAGATTCAAATTCAAACAAGTCAGTCACACTGCGTCCTACCTTACCAGCCCCGTGTGTCGCCACCGCCCCAGTATTGTTTACTCCACAGTTGCGTTCGCATTTCTCTGTCACTTTCCCGAATGTTTGTTCCATTTTTCCTATTTTAACCCGTTGATATTCCGTGGATTTAATCGATAATAGAGTCATAATAATCCCCGTGCAGCTCAATCTATCAAAATATCAAAGTTCTGTTGATTTTCGTGACGATTTTGGTGGAAACTCATGGATTTGGAGGTTATAAACTGTAACGTTGTGCCCATGCTTTTAATATCTAATTAAATTACGAAAATCACATTGATTATTGACAATAATGGTATTAGAATTACAAGAAACAAGTGAGAATACCGATTAATGCTACAGTGTTTCGTTGATGAAGAGGAATTTATAGATTTGAAGTCGGTGTAAATAGACTAATAATTATTCCGGTGCTGTTTTCTGCAGTAAAAATGAGGAAGTTTCTTTAATTTTTGCGAAGATTCCGACGATAATTTATCGGTTTTGAGGTTATAAGCTAGAATATTATCTCCATGCATTCAATATTTAATTAAATTGAGAAAATTCCATTGATTGTTGACAATAAAAGTGTTGGAATCATAATCAACAAGTGAAAATAATGAGTAGTACTTCAGTTTTTCGTTGATGAAGAAGAATTCAATGACCCGAAATCGAACTGAATAGACTAATAATAATTGCTGTGCTGTTTTCTGTATCAAAAAATCAAAGTTTCCTTAATTTTAACTAAAATTAATGGAAAATTATCTTCATCCTTCCAATATGGACTAAAATTTAGAAAATTCCGTTGATTATTGACAATAAAAGTGTTAGAATCATAATCAACAAGTGAAAATAATGAGTAGTACTTCAGTTTTATGTTGGTGAAGAAGAATTTAACGATTTTAAATCGAAGTGAGTAGGCTAATAATTATTGCTGCGCTAGTGTTTTCTGCATCAGAAAACCAAAGTGTCATCAGTTTTGTGTGAAGACTCTGACCAATACTTATCGTTTTAAACTAAAAAATTACCTTCATCCTTCCAATATCTAAAAACATGTGAAAAATTCCGTTGATTATTGAAAATAAAATTGTCCTAATTATAATCAAGAAGTGAAAATAATGATTAAAACTTCAGTTTATCATTGATGAAGAATTTAACAACTTGACATCGAAGTGAATAGACTAATAATTATTCCTGTGCAGTTGTTTCCCACAAAAACCAAAGTTTCCTCAGTTTCTGTGAAAACTTACCGTTTTAAACTAAAAAATTACCGTCACCCTTCCATTATCTAATAAATTTTTAAAAATTCCATTAACTATTGACAATAAAAGTGTCAGAATCACAACCAAGAAGTGAAAAGAACGATTAATCCTCCAGTTTTTATTCAACGACGAGGAATTCAGTTCGCAACTGATGTAAATTAAACGAAAAAAAGATAAAATGAGTGATAAAAGTAGTGATTCGGAGGAATTGGAGGTGAATCCCAGCGGAAAAAATGTCCCTGGTGCATCGAGAGACGTGAAACCTTCGGGAAACCCAGAAAAACCCAGAGAAAAGCCCCCGGAAGGTGACGTTGAGGAGTTCGATACCGACGAGGAAGAGGAATCCAATCCCAAAGCCTCGAAATCAGGGGCTGATCAACCCCCCAGTGATTACTCCCAGCATTTGACTTACGAGGGGGATTTGTGCATTTACACGGAACCAGGAACAGGGAGGAAGTTGATCTGGGACAAGGAGAAGAACTCCTGGGTCCCTAGGGAGGCTGAGGAGGCTGAGGGGCCTGAGAACCCCATGCAGAATTACGAATTCGATGGGAAGAACTATGTTTACACTGACCAAGCGTCCAATGTCACTTATAAGTTCGATCAGGATAAGAAGGAGTGGGTTGTGAAGGAGGAGAGGGGGAGTGGACCTGAGGTGGCTGCCCCTGGGGGTGTCTATGGATTTGAGGACGATACTCACACGTATACTGACCCCAATGATGGCTCTGTTTACATGTGGGATCGAGAGAAGAGCGCGTGGTTTCCGAAAGTAAGGAGAATTTTTTATTTTCTGTTAGAGAATTGTTGGAGGGAAATGGAACTGACTTTGAGGTGTTTAGAAGTTGAGGTTGACTGGGAAAAATTAAAAGATTTTTTTCATTTTTGAGGGATTTTCTTGCTGTTTAGAATGAAATTTGATTTATTTAGATCAAAATTTTTTCCAGTTTCAGTTCCATTTTCTGCTGTTTTTTTAATGTTTGATTATTTGAAATTGAGGGAGTTTAGGGGAAAATGAGGACACATTTTTTGGTGGGAATTTATTCACGTGGAGAAAATGTCTTCTGATATTTTATAAATAGGCCGTGACTATTCGCACCATTGCGTGAATCACTCCCGTACACTCCATACACTCCACGCATGCGTGAAGTTTGTGTGTTTCNACGATTTTTTCTTAACTCGCAAAAATCTTCAAACAATTTGCTACCGATTGGTGATAAAATTTTTTGGAAATAATGAAGTAGGGGGGATAAGTAGGGGGATGAAGTAGGGGCTTTTTTTTTCAGGGGTGATTTTTCAAAAATTTATTTTAAAAAAAGTCCTAACTA